TATGCTTAGATTTATTTATTTATTTGCATCTAAAGGTATTTTTCTTTGAGAATATATGTGAACATTTGTGAGCCTTAAAACAATCAAACAAAAAAGATCCAAGCACATTTCTAATATGTCAACAAGAAAGACTTTTCTTGCAACTAAAACTTTAGGCCTTGTTGGTGACTTGCTGCTTCTTGGAATGTTAGTATTGTGGCAACTGTGGTGAAGATGATAATAAAGATGTCTTCCATAGGAATAATCAAATTATTTATTCATGCATGTTATGTGTACAATTGACTCTAAATGTACTGGCACCAATAAATATATAAGAAAATGTTTAAATATTTTTTAAGTGCTGAAATACTTCCAGCATAAAGTATTCTTTGAATTAGTCCATTGAATAAACACTTTCATGTTGTCATTTATATTTCCCCAAAGAGGACACCCCTGTTTTCAGCATTGGAGCCCCCTTTGGCAAGAATAATAACTACAAGTCTTTTTGAGTAATGCTTCATCGGGTCGGTGAACATGTTGGACTGTTCCTCCAAGCAGAACCTTTCCACCTGGCCACCAGGATTTTGGATAAAATATCTTTTGATTATGATTATTTTAAGTACTTCTAAGAATTACTGATGCCATTGATCTTCACAATGGCCCAGATTTCCCATCGGAATTTATCATACTCTTTCCAAAGATTGTGTGATGCCAAATGTACCTGGGATGACTGATGACTGTACAAAACTACTTCATCTCCTCTGACCACAGCATCCAGTCAACTCCATACAACATGGTTCAAACAAATGTTTTTATATGAACAAATGACCAACAGCCCCTTTCCCTTTTCCAGTAATACCTCTCCTTGTTGATTGTACTCTCTCCCTGGCCCAGGCTCAATCAGATAGAACTCCCACACACCTGGAGAGAAGAGTAGTGATAGACAGAGGATTTGAGGAGAGAAAAAAAGAGTACGTTCTGGAGGACTGATAAGAGAAAAACTTCAAATTGGAAAGTGAGGACTGCCGATGATGTCAGAGAGTGGATTCCAGTCTAGTGCTTCTTTAAAGGTTTTGATTGTTCTTGCTGAGCTCCTGCATTTGACTCGGTGTAAGGAAAGGTTAAATATGCTTTTGTGCTAACTGATCGTTGGGCCTTTGAAACTAAACCTTGCCTCAATGACATACTGACCTACAGAACAGCCTGCCTGCCACAAGATGTAGTGCTCATTCACTGCCACCAGAAAAGCTAAGGATGCAATTACCATTAACATATTAGAGTTATAATATATGTATAATAAATTTAAATTACTAGAATTATAGTGGTTATAGTATCCCGTTTTACCGATTGACCATTTTTCTGTTCTTTTTTTAACTGAAGAACCAGTTACAGTGAGTTCCTGTAATTGCTCAATTTAAATTCAGTTTAAACTCCTCATTACTACATATAAAGCATTTAAAGTAGCTCCCTCACTCACACATATATTCATTTCTTGTTTTAATATTTGCTTTGCAAGCATATTCATTGTTAATATATTCAACGTAGATATATTGTAGTGAGCGTGGGTCTTGTGCAAAATTGTGCAGTATTGTGCAAAAATCAGAGACCACCCCTCACTTACTTAATTTCTTTAATTACTTAAAGTCAAAAAGGCCATTAAGTACAAGTTATTTATTTTTTTCAGTAGATATTTCTGAAGAGATTAGATATAACATCATCTACTTGCATAAGGAAGGGGGAAGTCAAAGAAAATTGTGACAAAACAGGAGTTTCCAAAACTGAAGTTCAAAAAATGATTAAAAATAAGGAGAAAATGGGACTTCCAACAACCATGCAAGACCTGGTAGACCACCAAAACTGTCACAATCAGATAAACAGCACTTAAAGCTTTCATCTTTGTAAGAGAGGCATTCCACTCTTGCTTTAGATCTGAAAAAATCCACAGGTGTTTCTGTCCATCCTTCCACTGAGAGAAGACAACTCAACACTATGAGTCTGAAAGGATGTGTAGCTGTCAAGAAGCTGTTACTGAGAAAAGGCAATAGACAAAAAAAAGAAAATTTGTAACTCAAAACAAGGTGTTGGTGTTCTCAGAATAGTGGATTGACCACCCCAGAGTCCAGACCTCAACATCACTGATTGTGTTTGAGAAAGGGTAAAGAGTAGACACACTAAACACTGAAAAATTAGGTATTATAATTAGTAATTGAGGCTTTTGTGTTATTGTTAAATGTTTTCTGACTTTTTTATTATTATTATTATTATTATTATTATTATTACTACGCTTTATCAGTTTAGTGTGAATAGAATACACAAAGCATTCCATTAACATGCATTGCGTTATAATAAAAGTGAATAAATGTAAAGGTTTTTCATTTGGACAACTCAACAGCTCTTGGGAACAGAGGGGGGTGCATGTGGTAACCTAATTAAAAACTAGTTTGATAACCTAATTAGATAAACGATGGAATTGGGTCTGACTTTTGAGAGTATTGGGGTGGGATTGTGTGTGTGGGAGTGCGTGTGTGTGTTCGGTATTGTTTGATGTGGGATTGTTGTCACCGTCCAGTCAGATAAGAGAATTCTGCACATTCCGAGTCGACTGTAGCCAGACTATAAAAGTCCAAAGCTTCATGATGACCGATTATTTCAGAGGGTGACCCACTCACGCACTGGTCTAGTCTATAATAATAGTGATAAAAATAATATTTGGGCACTGGATTATACGCTTTAGTCAGTTTTAGTGCATATATTAGCTCAGATGTTCAGATTAAAGGAAACAATGTTATAGTTGGTGCAGAGAGTCAACCTGGTGTCAGAATCAAGTGATCTTCAATACAGATGGATGCTGTTCGCATGGCAAGTATAATTAATTACATTTTATTGTGATGCAGGTGTGAGTACTTCTGAATATAAGGAACACATTCAAGAATCTTGTTTCTGTTGTAGGTGCCTTTTTCTTTCTTCACTCTGGCACTTATGATGTGTTTGCTGCCCCTGATTGCAACTCATTTTACTGGCAAAAACTCAACAGGTAGAAAACTTTGTTTTGCTTCTCAAATAGAGAATTGCCATAAAATATTTCTATAAATAAAATGTATTTAAATATACATCACTGCAAGCGGCTGCATTTAGGTCCATTCAGTTAACTCATGAGGTAACTTGGTCATTTTAAAATGTGGCAGTGAATGTCAAACCTGAGATAATTAGGTCAGTAGCTGAGATGGTTGAACAGAAATAGTTTGAATTGAATTGGAAGTGACTAAAGTGAGCCTGCTTTAAATTTGTTTATTTACCAATTACACACAAATGTTGTAATAGAAAATAATAAAAAAAAAAATGTTTGGTGTCCCTGTCAGAGGTTTTGCATGTTTTCTTTGATGTTTTTGCAATACCTTATATAGACAAGACTAATCAGGTTTATGTTAACTGCATCACACACGGAAATATTTGTGACAGTAACTAAAAACAATAAAACAATAAGGTAATTAAAAATAATAAACCTACAATAAAACCTACCAATGAAGAACACAGCTTATTTTCATTTTGGGTCTCCATGAGTTTGATAGGCAGTGTATTTGAAAAATGAATTCTAGTGATTTTTTTCAATTGTGCAAAAATCAGTCCTTAAGGTGTAAACAAAGTCATTAGAGTGGTTTGGTGTGAAATCATTAATTGTAGAGAAACTCATTTTTTCCCTTTTGGCCCTTCTTTATTTCCTCTATTGTATTCTTTCATTAAAAACATCAGAACATACATCATAACGGTTTCCTTCAAAGATTCTTTAGAACAACAGAAAGAAAAAAGACAAACATAACATAGGTCGGGATAATCAAATTCTTTTTGTAATAAATTTTCATCCGATCATTGTAATAATATTAATAATAAGAAACTAATTTCTTAACAGTGGTGGTAATAGGAACCAGGTGTCGGGACGTCAACAACCGGTTTATTTACTAACAAAACCACAGAAACTGCTTGTGTCTTCTGAGTTTTAACATGTAATGTTGATAATGGTGATAAAAAGCTAAATCTAGAAAAAATTCTTTATTCGGGATTGCCTTAAAACACACAGCATGGCAAACTCTCTGTTATAAATAACCTTTCAAGAAATACATTTTAGGCCAAAACCTTTTTACAAAGCTATTGTTATACAATGTCTAAGACATCAGGCTGCGTATTCAGAACGATTTGTGTCACCACCACTGTAAACTGTTCTGTTCTATAAAACAGAACATTTCACATCAAACCACTTTAAATTGCTTTCTTGACATTGTAACCTTTTAATTATGCAGAAATATGGACAACTTGCCTTTAATTTCCCTTTTAACTAGTAAAATGCATTTTGGAGCGATATTTTGACCCGACCTTCAAGACTGAGTAGTTCTTTACAGTAATTAACCCGCAGCTGTGTGTGCAGTGTACGTAGGCTCCACATTCATTCAGGAGGCTTTGAGGAGAGCGAGAAAGCGGACTGATGCTGCCTATGCACACACCAGTGAGAGGTAACAAATTTTTTGTTTAATTTTAGGTCGATTTTGTTGCAAAAAATTGTTGTGTGAATAATGTTAAAAAGTGGTGAACATTAAGTCTCATGCTTGCATTTTTTGCAACAAACATGCCTCAAATGTGTGTATGATTTTTGTTTTTTTTTCTTTTATTTGTTTGTTGTTTTTTATGTATGACTAAACATGTTAGAAATGAAGTAAAAAGTTATGAGATGTGAAGAAGGATATATATATATATATATATATATATATATATATATGTATGTATGTATAGTTTATACTTGCATCAATTCTGTGAGTATCTCTGAGGGTTAAGGTTTTTAATAAAGTAGTTAGATCATGATGTTTTGGATTATTGATCTTTTCTATCCTCTTAGAGTGAAGATGTCTGTATTTGAAGGATCTTTTCGGCCCACTGACCTGCTGGCTCAGTTTAAACAGATAGGTTCCAGTACCAGAGGTCATATCAGCGCTGCAGAACTATTCGACAACACAGTAGAGGTCATCAGAGAGATGGTGTACACTCACACTATGGCTCAGCCTAATCATACTGGTACTGTTACACATAAAAACACTGTGGCTCAGGCCAAATATGTGACATACACCCAGTTTGTATCTGACCAATCACATTCACTCTCACAGGGTCTATTCATTCCTTCTCCACTTTCTCCAAATCTGAAGCCCACTGTGTTATTTTTGCCTCCATGTATAAGCAAAAAAAATCTGTACAGCACTGATTGGTTGTGTATGTGAATCAGAGTTGCTGAGTGTGGAGGACATGGAGACTTTGCTGGACGCTACAGGGTGTTCCACAGAAATGAAGAAACCTGTGTGCAAATCTGACTGTCTCTCAGAACGCTACCGCACCATCACAGGCCACTGCAACAACAGGTACTCACATACAGAACCTTCACTGAACACTGCAACAAGTATTCATATACAGACCCTTCTAGAGTAGCCATCTAAATCCATGCTCAAGCTAATGTCTTGTTACTTAAACAAACTTTCGATTCAAGTAAAGCAAAAATACCTTTCTAAAAGCAACATGAGGGGAAATACAAAAGTACAACAAGCTTCTAGCATATAGAACTGCAGTGGAACATCCAGCATCTATCAGCTTAGGAATGGAAGATTGTTAGACTCCATTCTTCTGTTTTTTAATACACCCTTTGTCTGAAATAAAAAGATAAACCCAAAGGTCAGAGCTATGATCAGCTGCAAAGCTGTAGAGATAACAGTCACCAAGATAACATATTGAAACTAAAACCAACCTGGAATTAGTAACTAAATGTTAATGATTAAAATATAACTGAGTAAAAGGTAGATTCCTTCCTTTCCTCACAAATACAGCTCAGTAGAGGTAGAAGTATTTAGTTACTATGCACCTCTGGTAATGACACACAGGATCTCCACTGGACACTGCATTAACAGCACATACACTGTTAGCTTTGCATTCACACCCACCAGCAGCCAACAATAGCTTCTCCATTCACAGACACAAACAATATGACAGGAACAGCCACACATTTTGTTGAGTACAGCTGTATTTTAAAGACAGATGCACTTCTAACAGTAATTATGTGATGGGATTCCCCTTGGTGTTAAAAGGGACTTTTTATTCCTCTGCAGACAGAATCCTCTTCTGGGGGCTGCTAATACCCCATATGCCCGCTGGCTTCAACCAGAGTATGAGGATCTTCGTGGGGCACCCAGGGGCTGGAACCCCCAGCATACCTATCACAACTTTACACTGCCTCTAGTAAGACATCACTCAACATACATAACCTGTCTTTAGAACATGTGTAGGCATCAATTGCATTGCCACACTGGAAGTCAAAATGAATTGCTTGTATGTGCACTGATGTTTAGCAACTGTTTTTGGTGTCTCTGAAGAAAACCATCCCTTCTGTTCAGTTCCTCACCCTCCTAACTGCTTTTAACTTCTGTTAGGAATATATTAGTTTCTTAGTAGCTAATTAAATGATTTATAGTACTTCCTGAGTAGTAGGTCTACAGGCCTGTAGTTTAACACCTGAATAATAAGCCTTCAAAGAGTTAAAGAAGGAAAAGCACAAAGAGTATTGGATGAGAAGACTTTTGGCAATGACATGGTTTAAGACTAAACAGATTTAAATCCCATGGAGAATATGGGCCAAGTTGGGGAAAAACACTAAAAATGGCAGTGAAGAATGTTTACTTTATAAAAGCAAGACAAATGTGGTCATGAGGCAGTCATCAAGTCTAGAAGAAGACCTAAAACATACTGATAAACACTTGTAGTTGCCTATCTCCTATATTTTCTATATTTGAATCTTAATTCTTGGTGTGTATTAGTCATCATTACAAAAACAATGTTAGAGTAATTCCTTTTCACTCTGCATATCCTATTCAAAGTGACATTGCTTATTTGCACTATATTTCAAGTAAATAACAACCATTATACTGCATCCACTCCTGTCTCTTGGCTCAGGTTCGGTCAGTGTCACAGGAGGTGTTGTATACCCATAATGAGAATATCTCTCTGGACGAGTCACTGTCTCACCTGCTCGTCGAGTGGGGGCAGTGGATTGACCATGACTTCGCACTTACCCCTCAGAGCCCGAGCACTGCCTCATTCAAAACTGGAGCTGACTGCACACGCACCTGCAGCAGAGATACGCCGTGCTTCCCTATCCAGGTGCTTACACACACACACACACACACACATCATCTAAACCGCTTATCCTTCTGGGTCGCGCTGGGGTGCTGAAGCCTATCCCAGCTGTCATTGGCCGGAAGGCAGGATACACCCTGGACAGGTCGCCAGTCCATTGCAGGGCAGACAGAATACACAGTCTCTCTCACACATACACACACACACACACACAGGGGCAATTTTAGCATGTCCAATTGGCCTGAGTGCATGTCTTTGGACTGTGGGAGGAAACCAGAGTACCCAGAGGAAGCCCACGCAGACACGGGGAGAACATGCAAACTCCACACAGAAAGGACCCTGGTCACCCGGCCGGGAATTGAACCCAGGCCATTCTTGCTGTGAGGGGACAGCGCTACCCAGGCATACAGTGCCAATGAAACATTTTGAGACACCTAGCTCAGCGCTGATATTAAATCAGGGCATCATCAGAAGACACTTTGATGAACATAAAGCTGAGGGTTCCAAAATATGCACACATAATTTGCAAATAGCTATTTTTATATATTAAACAAACTTTTGCAGGTATTTTGTTCTTACAACATTAAAAACAACATAAAAAGAAGAATAAAAAAAGTTTCCTTATTATTTCTTTAGTTTCTCCTAGACAACAGTGGATCAGATGGTAAGAATCTCAACCATTTCTCATCCAAGACTAACAGCTTCTCAGTTTTGATGCTGTGAATTATTGTGAACGATTAGCACTTTTATCTGGACGGGAGGTACCTCATGTCTCCTTTTTGTCTGAAGCTATTTCTCCTACAAGTTTTAGAAGAATCACCATTAAGTCTCCTGAGCTATGCACCATTTGAGCAAAAATGTCTTCCTCTGATTTTCCCCAACCATTTGATGGCCAGTGTACATGCATGTTCATTTATGAAGGCATTGTGTATACAAATCAACTCTCTCTTTCTCTCTGCCCCTCTCTCAGATCCCTCTCTCTGACCCTCGCACAGGCGTTCAGAGCTGTATGCCGTTTTTCCGCTCTGCTCCGAGCTGTGTGGGCCCCTCAGCTATGCGTCGTCACAGAGAGCAGCTGAATGCCATTACGGCCTTCGTAGATGCTAGTATGGTGTACGGGAGTTCAGACACACTCGCTCTCGCTCTCCGCAACCTGTCCTCGCCGCACGGCCTGCTTGCCCACAACCAGCTGCATTCTGACCACGGCCTCGCCTACCTGCCTTACCTGCCCCGCACACATACACAGCTGGACCCCTGCGGCCCACGCCAGGAGACCAGTACTGTCTCACCGTCACAAACAGCAAAGAACACAACATCCATGGGGAACCTGACCTTCTGCTTTCAGGCGGGTAGGCCACTGTGGACTGGCTTTATGTGTATTTTTAAACTGCATTTGTTCAAATAGTTACACCCTGGTCCTACCTTAAGCATGATAGTTGTGATGATTAACTTTTGGATCTATAACAAAAAAAATTGCTTACAACAACATTTGTTTGCATAGGTGATGCCAACAAATGTTTAATTTACACAAGACCACAACATGCTGTTGTAGAAGTCACATTTGTTAGAAAAATAAAATATAAATTTGAAGATTCCACAATCAAAATCAGTAGAGGCAAAGTTTCAGTTAGACTCCCAGAATGGAAAAAACAGGTACTGCTGCATTCTCTCCACAGGAGGCTGGAGTATGACGCAGAACTAACTGACCTATTAATAACTAGACATACTACTAGCAGGTACTCTTCAGGTCATTATGAAGCTGTTCTGTCTGTTATGTGCTGTGGTGGATGTGTTTCAGGTGACTCTCGGGCCAATGAGCACTTGGGGATGATTGCCCTACACACACTGTTTCTAAGAGAGCATAATCGAATGGCTGAGGAGCTTCACAAACTCAATCCCCACTGGAGCCCTGACACGCTGTACCAAGAGACCAGGAAAATCCTTGGAGCTGTCCATCAGGTTAAAGCTGTGGTTTGGACTCTGGTCCTAGATTAGCCTGTCCTGCACATTTGAGTTTTTTATGCTGTTCTAACATACCTGTTGTTCAACTCCGAAAGAATCTGTAAATTAGCCAAATCATTGGATAAAGTGGAAAACATAGAAATATGTAGCACGGGTTACTCCAGGACCAGGACTGGGAAACACTATGGAAGTCTAATCTCAGTTCCATCCACATATGCACCAAATTTGAGTTACACTTGAGTACAATGATGCCTTTATTCTATTCACTACTCTCTCTCTCAGGTCCTGACGTGGGATCAGTACCTGCCACGTGTTCTGGGGCAGAAAGCACACTCTGAGCTCATGTCCCCCTATAATGGCTATGACCCTGAAGTTGACCCCAGCATCACCAACAGTTTCTCAACCGCGGCCTTCCGCTTTGCCCATGTAACAGTGCATCCAGTAGTGAACCGACTCGGACCTGATTATCAGCTCCACCCTGAACATCCACCACTGCCTTTGCACCGATCACTGTTCGCATCCTGGAGAGTGGTGGAAGAGGGTGCATGTCACACGCACACTAATTCTGATTCTCTGTGTATCATATGTATCATGTACAGATTAGGTTTCAGAACAGGTCCACAATAATATATTCTTATAATAGAATATCACACAAACAGGCAGCACAGCTACAGTGCTAAAAAGCAGTCTCGGGACATTCCTGAATGCAATTTATGTCTTGTTTTTTCTTATTTTCCGAGCTAGCAGAAGATTACTTTTCACGTTATTCATTCAGATCCATCGGAAAAGTTATAACCACCAGTAATATCAACCAGGTTTATAAACAGAAACTTGATCTCAGCACTTAATTGAAAACTTAAGCAAGGCAAGTAAAAGTGCTCAAATATTAGTGGGACAAGCTTTACTGTCACTTTTTGTTGTGTAGGTTATTATTTAGTATTTTATTTCAGATAGTATTTTGTAGCATATCCTTTAATTGGATGACAGAAGTCTTCTAGGCATTTGAATGGTCAGAGTATGGCAGATATTTGAACGCTTCACGTCTTTGTGCATGACTTTAGTACTTTTTTTTTACTATTTTTTTCTGTAATCTTTCTCATGGACATTCTGTTACCAAGAGACAACATTTATTGACATTTATAGATTTAGGTGTGTTGCATGTTGGCTTTCCAAGAGTAGCTCTGGAGATCTTTGGTTGTTGAACATGACATTTGGATTAGTGTTCCAACATTGTATTTATTTATTTACTTTCTTACTTACTTACTTAAGTGAAACTGAGGTTTAATTGAAAGTCTACTACTGTGCAGTTGGAATCAAAGTGTTGATTGAAAATGTATAATGTAGCTGAAATATAGATGAAATTCTATACTTTTGAATGTGTTAAAGCATGCTTTCCATAATACATCAACAAATTAAATAACTACAGGTACAAATAATGATAGAGGGCTACTTTGGAGCACTGCATACTGTCTTTCCTGTGCTCTGTCAATGTGTAAGAAGTGATCTTTTTCTCTCTCTGTAGGTGGTATAGATCCAGTTCTGCGAGGGTTGTTGTTGTCTCCAGCAAAGCTGCAAGCTCCACAGAAGATGATGGTGGAGGAGTTGACCGAGAGGCTGTTCCAGGCTCAGGGGGGCCTGCCGCTGGACCTGGGGGCTTTAAACCTACAGAGAGGACGAGACCACGGCTTGCCTGGTACTGACCATCATATGTATCAAGCTATAAGTAACAGCACAGTAAGATAACAGGTTTTGCCTTTTGCTTACATGAATATGACATAAACATGACAAAGCTGATCCCAAATTATTATTCTGAGATGTTTAATACACAGTGTACGTCTAAAAGTGTCCAAATACCTCTTCTATTTAGTGAATTCTACTACTAACTACTGACACAGATGTTCAGTTGTGCATACACAGCTTGTATTATCTCCATAGAAAATCACTGCTAATAAAATGGGCCCTATGCTCTGGAGCAGCTGCACATGAGCCCAGGGCCACTATGCCCGATGCCAAGTGTACCTAGAGGGCTACAAAGCCCCCCAGCATTGGGCTGTGGAGCAGTGGAACTGGAGTGACGGAGTTCCATCCAGTACCTTTGGGAGGAGTTGGAGTGGTGTTTGTGATCCAGAAATAATCATCCACCATCAGTACCTGACCTCACTAATGCTCTTGTGGCGGCAAGCAAATCCTCACAGCAATGTTCCAACATCTATTATAAATGCCTTTTCCGAGTAGAGGTTGTTACTGCAGCAAAAAGGGACAAACTCCCTGTTAATACCATGATTTCAGAAGAAACATTGGATAAGTCCACAAACTTTTAGACATCATACGTCTGGTTTCCTGGACAGAGATTAAGCCTACTCCTGGAATACACAGGATTCTGAATGAAAAATTTCCATTGAAAGGAAAATGTAGTCTGTGACTAGGCTTAAACCCTGTTCGGGAAACCAACCTATAGTTTATTTAAGTCATGTTTTTAGACAGACTGTGCTCAACAGTTAGTAAATGATGTGATGTGTAATGACTCATCAACCCTCCCTTTCACTCTGCAGGTTACAGTGCATGGCGCCAGTTTTGCGGCCTCTCAGTCCCGGCAAATGAGTCAGAGTTAATAGAAATTCTAGGTAATGTAGGCTTGGTGCGTAAGCTGCTAGGACTGTATGGCACAGCCCAGAACATTGATTTGTGGGTGGGGTCCATCTCAGAGCCAGCACTGCCAGGTGGGAGAGTGGGGCCTCTGCTAGCCTGCCTGCTGGCCAAACAGTTCAGAGCACTCAGAGATGGAGACAGGTGAGCAGAGGGAAATCAGTGAGTGAATGAACAAACAACTGAGGCAAAAATTACAAACAATAATGAATACAGATATTCCTTGAAAGTCTAATTTAACATGTGCTTACATATGATATATGAACAGATGGTCTGGCAAATGAGCAAATCAGTGAGTAAATGAATGAACACATGAATTTTCCTTTTATTTGTCTCTGTAAGGTTCTGGTGGGAGCGAGAGGGTGTTTTCAGTTCTGCTCAGAGACACTCACTGCGCACTGCGTCTCTCTCTCGCATCATCTGTGACAACACAAACATTCGCCTGGTGCCCTCAGACGCTTTCACTCGTACACTGCATCCTGACCAGCTTCTGCCTTGCACACACACAAACATCACACACTTCAACCTCTCTGCCTGGAAGGAGCCAGACACTGGTGTGTGAAACAGAGACAGTGTATAGTGTTTATTTCTGTTGTTAGAGTTACAGTTACAGTGTTGTGTAAAAGACAGAGGCCATTTACAGTTACAATGGCCAGTAAGTACAAGTTATTCATTTTTTTGTGTCACAAAAAAGCAGAAAACATATTTAACTGAAAATTACACAGAAGCCTCAACAATTAAATATATCAGTTTTTTTCAGTATTTAGTGTGTCCACCTTTTGCCTTCATTACAGCTTATATTCTTTTCAGTAGACTTGCTTTCAAAGAAATCAGCAGAGATATTTTTCCACACCCCCAAATTTTAGTCTTAGAAGTTGCATTTTCTGTTTCTAACAAGCCAAGTAGTTCCAAACACATCAGTGATGTTGAGGTCTGGTCTCTGGGGTGGTCAGGGAATGGACAGAAACGCATGATTTTTTTCAGATAAGAAGCAAAAGTGGAGTTGAAAGCCTTAAGTACAGTGTATCTGATAGTGACTGTTTGGTGGTCTTGCAAGGTTGTTTGGAGTCTTGTTTTATCTTGTAATAACTTTTTGAACTCCAGTTTTGAAAGCTCATGTTTTACTTGTGTTCTTTTTATTTCACCTTCCTTGTACAAGTAGATTATCTTATGTATAATCTACACAGAAAAAGTGTTTTTATCTCCTTAAAAAATGAATAACATGCTTAGTAGTCATTTTGACTGGGAATTAAACAAGTCGAGGGTAGTTTCTGACTTTTACACAGCAATGTAGGTGTATGGACTTTAAAATATATATAGTTGTATTTATCTTTTTTTGTATCTTATTTTCTTTGTTGTTTTAGACCCTGTGTGTGGCTCCATCCCTCGTCTGAAGGTGGGTTTCTCTGTACTGTGTGATTCTGCAGTGCTGTACCAGTGTCCCTCTGGCTATGTGCTTCATGGGGCTACACACATCACCTGTGACCCCAACACACACTTATGGACTCCACAACCACCCACCTGTCAAGGTGTGTGTGTAAAGGCAAAGGTTTTATGCAGTATTTAACTATGAAGATGTGTCTTTGTAATTGGTGTGAATTTGGCTTCAGTTCAGTCAGCTAACATGAATAATAGTGTAAGTGTGCTTTTAACAGTTATGTTTATCTGCGTGTCTCAGATATAGACGAATGTTTCAGACAGCCTTCCGTCTGCCCTCCAAACCTGCAGTGTATCAACACACCAGGCTCCTTTATCTGCTCAGGTATGCACTGTCCCAGACAAAGAAGACATGAACTCTTTGTCTTGGTATGGAAGCCCATTCCCACCAGCTAGAGGAGAGAAAACATTGCCTGATTTTGCCAGCAACATGTCAAAATCTCAAAATGAATACATTTTGTGAAAATATTGACTTAGTATCTTGAAACAATATATTTTTTTTACTTTTAGTTGAGCTTCTATATCTCAAATGACGGATTTTCTCAAAATATCAACTTACTGTGTACTGTGAAAAAAATCACTTATCTACTCAAATTATTCACTTAGTGTCTTGAAATAACGCCTTATTCTGTATATATTTCAATAGAAACTCTGGCATATTTCCAAATAATGAGTAATTAAATTTCAAGAAAGTAAGTAATTATGTTGGGATAGTAAGTTGATATTTTAAGAAAATAGTAATTTATTTAAAAACAACAGAAGTCAAAATTTTCAGAAAACAAATCATTTAAAGATAGAAATTAATTACTTCAATAAAATCAGTCATTATTATAACAAAAGTTAGAAAGTAATTATTTCAGTATGCCAAGTCAAAAACAAAAACAGAAAACAATCATGGCATTTTTGTTCTCCTTTTCCTGGCCAGAATGGGCCTCTATATCTTGGTTCTCACATTCACATGCAGAAACATTATGCAGTTTTCATTTTGAAATTATGCAGATTCACCTGCGATAAAGTTCATCAATTAATCTGATACACATTGTCCACAGAGTTTGCATCTGCTCCTCTTTCTGCCTCCTCCGTTGTTGCTGCAGTTATGGCAGTGCTGGCAGGAGTGGGCATTATGGCCCTAATCATGATCTGCTACAGAAGGTGGGTGTTTTATTGTTTTATTTTACCTTTGTTTAAACATTGCTTGACTGATTGATGGTTGATTATAATAAGTTGATGATTTGTTTCTTAATATCTCTTTTCTTTTTTGTAGGTTTTTCCTCAGAGAGGCAGAGCCAGTTACCAGAGCATGCTGTGAGAGGAAACACTGAAATGGTCAATGTTTACATGAGTGTATTCAACTTTTTATATTTATTTATTAACTAGCTAAATGTCTCCTCTGTAGAGAACATGACTTAAATGTATTGTATATTGTCTTAATACACATGTACAGATACTCACGTGCTTATCTGACGCTTATGCTGCTGTTTTTTGTTAAATCACCTATATATGAGTCACATTAAGAACAGAAGCTGCGTCTAGGTCACACTGCTCCAGGAAGATTTCCTTTAGCCAAGATCATCTCTCCTTAACACAGCGAAACTGGTCTCAGCTTAATATTCTACTACAATCACAAATACAGTATTTTTGTCAGTGTACAGACTGGCTTGTTGTACAAAATGTGTGTGTGTGTGTGTTGTGTGTGTCTTTAAGAGCTGACTCATGTAAACATGCTTTTCATGTTTTCTTTGCCGTGGCTCTCTGTGAAACCTGTTCTGCGGCTTACAGTGAGACGTGGCAGGTTCATTTTCTTTGCAATGGTAGTTTTCTGTTGACCCAAGTAGGAGGCATATTAGGTTTGATTTTTTAGGCATTCCCATTTGAAGAATAAGGGATGTTTCAAATGCAAATCTTTTTCATCCAGTAAGCCAGACAAGAAGAGTTGTGATATTAACTGAGATGCACATTTTTCCTTGTGATTAGTGAGTGTGTCACATATGATCAACTAGAGTTGCTCAATAGACTCCACAGTGAAACCCCATACATCACTGCAGAAGTCATGACGGTTGGAATGTAGGCATGGGCGATACCACTAATTTACTTTCTGATCCAATACCAAGGCTAATCCTGACACCAGTACCGATACTAATACTATTAAAAGTCTTTTTGTGCACATAAAAAGGAGAATTCTTTGCGATTTCTACAGTGAATCCATCAGTAAATGTGAACCTTAAAATTTTGAAATTTGTAAGCATTAAATTTGCATTAATTTTAACTATACAGCCAGATACACTGAGAAAGTAGAGGCAAAAGTAGTTCCTATACTACACATTTATTTCTACAATCATTTTTCTACTTTGTCTGCATCACATACCTTTTCATTTTTATAAAAAGTTAGTCATCTTACTGCTTAAAGTTCCAATTCCACCCTAAAATCTGTTTTTCCATGCTATGCTGTAGTGTTACGTTGTATCCCTCATCCTCATTGGTTTGTATGAATTTATTATTTTATCACTAATTTTTTCATTCATCAGTACGACTACAATATTTGGTTTTGCAGCAGTAACTATCTGCCTTACTTTTGCATTCACCATGTAAAGGGAAAAAAAATCCTCCCACCTTCAAGATACATCAGAGGGTGGTCTTTAACCTGGAAAATCTCACTACTTTGACGGTCCTTTAAGATGCGAGTAAACTTTCACAACAGCTGTAGTGATGGTTAAATGTTTCATTTTTGCTGGAATGTCCCTTCAAAGAATTTCATGCAAGAATGGATTCTCAAATACAAATGTTAGCATCACAGTATCGTTACTTCAGTATTGGGCTGCCACCACAACTGAAATGTATACTTCACCCTGATCCTACACACAGCTTCTCTGGTCAATATTAGGTACAAACAAAACTTACTCATTCAGACCACTCAATGTTTTATTGCATTAATCCACATGCGCGTCAGGAGGAGGACTCCTAATCCCCCAAGGTAGTTACATGTAAAACACATTAAAATAATTTTTTAGGTTATGTAAACTTGATTAACATTTTTCCTTTAAGTTCTAAATGTAAAATAAAATCATAAACCTGCTTTACAGCATTGTGCAAATCATCTAAACTAGCGTTAGGTGATATCCACAGACATGAGGTCCATGTCTATGTACTTTGTCAGTCTACCTTGAGACGAACAGAAAAGCCTCTGCTGAAAGTGTTTACCTTTTAGGTCTTGAAAAAAGTGAAGCAACTAAATCTGCTAAACAAGTATTCAAGTTTGCTTGGCTGTGTGCTGCATCCATATTGCACTGGAGCACATTCTGCTCAAAGATATCATGATTGTCAAACCTGCAACCATTATTATTGAATACAATATCAACTGGAACCAAAGGCCCATCTGAATTCATTACAAAAACAATTCAGGCATAACCATCAGCACTGACTGGTGGCAGAAATGGACAAAAGAGAAATGGACATCATGCACAAATGAGTGTCAGTAAAATGTAATAAAGTTATAATGCCTATGTAAAAACATGCAACCATGCAACACAAGCCAAAACAGGGGTTGCTCAATCCTGGTCCTGGAGATCTACCACCCTGCAAGGCTTAGTTCCACCTCTAATCAAACCCTGATCCAAATAATAAAGGCCTTCAGGAGGCGTGTTGTATCTGAACTGTCCAGGGTGGTAGATCTCCAGGACCAGGTTTGAGCACCCATGAGCCAATACCTCGGTTTCCATCAGGGAATGATGAATTGTCAAAGCAGGCAGATACAAGCATTGCTAATGAAAGCTCATTGTATACAATTCTAATGTTATTCATAACGACAAAGGCTTCAGTAACATTGTGAGTGAAATGGAACATGTACATCTTTGACATACATATATAATAATTATTGACAACTGACATCCATAAACATACTGAGGGGCAGACACAAGTATAGTATTTGATACAATGCCAGGTTAAAATTTGGGGTTAAAAATAAAGGTTGTTTGTGTTTCTCTGTGGCTCTTTCTAGACTAAATTACATTAAATATTGACTGTCAACAAAACATAAATGTTACCTATAATTAGGTTAAATCTATGCCTGGGAAAGCAGCCCTGCCAGCTCAGGTACTGAACTCTTTATCTCATGCACCATTTCACTGTAGTGCACCCTGGGAAACAAAGTGGAGCAGTGCTTATCAAAGCAGAAGCAAGATTAAAATTAGGCAAATAGTGTTTGACACGTGTAAACTCTTTGGAACACTCCACCAATGTGCATCTGTCATTTAAACTCAGAGACTGTGGGTATGATGAACGTGAGAAGGAGGGACTGTTCTGAGGTATGACTAGAACATCTGTAATCTGTGCTAGCCAAAGAAAATAACAAAACATAACCTCAACTATGATTCCAGGCTTATTCCACAATGAGAACCGCATTTATGTCCAAGGGTCTGGAGTGTATATAAGACATGGGAAACGTTTCTGTCTACTTGGTCCAGTCACTAACAATATAATACTGATTAAACATGTAGCACACTAGCTCATCTCATAAGTCTTACCACTTGAGCTGTTCTGCTACTGTGCTGTGATTCTGCTTTGGGTTGGAGCTTTCTTTCCTCTTGGCTCTTAAAGCAACAGACAAATGTCTATGTCCGATCACCTGCCATTATCAAATTGCTGTGTGTACAGAATGGCCATGTTGCATGGGTGTCCTTCAGCTTTCGTCTGTAAGAAAGAAACCCAACTTGGCCACAGACATTTCCCGCCGCAAACGCATCACTTCCCAAAACATCTGCTCAGCTGCAGAAAAACAAGAAAGAATATGATATGAATGCCCTCTTGTGATCCAGAGCCTATTTTTAATCATAATCAAAACAGATATTCAAATAATAAAAGTTATTTATCCATCTGAGCCAACACTCACCATCCTGTCTGACCAGGCCCTGCTGGATGTATCTGATATAGGTGAAGAAGTTGCACACTGCTGTGATCTGGCCAGAGGGAAAGAGAAGATTTGCATATCAAATGTACCTCAATGTGCTGGAGACTTAAATAAGGTAAGAAAATGAAAACCAAACAGATATCCTAGACAATTAGTGCTCAAATTTAGTGCAGAGGAATTAAGTCAGTGCTGACAGAGAAGGAGAGGTTTGTACCCTAGCTCTGCTGGAGGGAGAGATATAGTAGTAACTCTCTTTATCTCCCAGTTTGATGCGATGTCGGCAGGTGCGGGACAGTCCACTCAGCGCACACTTCCTGTGTCGGCGTAAACGTGCTTGTTAACAGAGCTGTCAATCACCCAGAAGCTCTCTCAACAGAGAATACAGGCAAAACATTCAGTTCAAATGCATCACTATAAATTGGTGCATACAGTTTTGTGAAAAATTCTGAGACCACTCTTCATTTATTTAATTTCAAGAAAAAATAATCCACAGCAAGGGGAAAGTCAAAGGAAATAAACAGGAGTTTCCAAAACTCAAGTTCAAAAAATATTCAAATGTAAAAGGCAATGTGGCTTCAAACTGTCACCATCAGATCAACAGAACTCAAAGCATTCATCTTTGAGAGAGAGGAGAAAATTAAGCTCCACTCTTACTTCAGATCTGAAAAAATCCACAGGTGTTTCTGTCCATCCTTCCACTGTGAGAAGAATAGCTCAACAATATGAGTCTGAAAGGACGTGTAGCTGTTAAGAAGCTGTTACTGAGAAAATAAAATAGATAAAAAAGGAGAACAAAGAAGCTGCTGGTGTTTTTACAACAATGAACTGACCACCCCAGAGTCCAGACCTCAACATCACTGAATGTGTTTGGGATTACTTGGATCATGAAAAGTAGAAAATCGAACCAACTTCTAAGACTGAACTTTGGACGTGTGGAAAAACATCCCTGCAGGCTCCTGAAAAGAATGGATGCTGTAACAAAGGCAAAGCATGAACACAGTAAAAACTGAAAAAATTATATTTAGTTGTTGAGGCTTCTGTGTAAATTTCAATTAAAATATGTTTTCTGCTTTTTTTTCTTGAAGATGAAAAATGAATAACTTGGCCATTTTGACTGAAAGTTAAATAAAGGACAGGGTGGTCTTTGAGTTTTGCACAGCACTGTATATATGTCTATATGCATGAGTGTGTTTTTCCACAAACTCCATAAAAAGACAAGCAATACAAAACCATTCCAATATAAAACCACCTTATTCATACTAGTAATCTTTTTAATGAAGGTCTCTTGTGTTTGAGACTATCTGACTCGTATCAGCATTTGATCAAAATACAGAGTAATGAAAACTTCCATGACAATGTGTTTATAGTGAGTTAAAGATCAGACAGAAAAAGAACATGTCGCTGATGACGCAACATAACAGAGTCTGTCAGGTACAGGTAAACATATTGAATGCAGACAAATTCAATGCAAAAAAACTGCACAAAATAAGTTGGAAAAAGAGAAGAGGAAATAATGCAGAAACGTTATTGACCCTGTGAAGCATGTTATTAGCTGTGTTAGTGACATTACAGTCTCCTAAAGTCACTTACGTCTCTACTGGTGCTCGGCAGCCACTGTGAAAACAACCCCAAATCAAACTGTGATCAGACTAATTAATCAAACAGAACCCAACAACCCAATCAAAACAATGTGACATACAGACCCCAGCTTAAATCTGTGCATGATTATGTGGTATGAAGCATACTAGATGAAACAAAATTCATTCTGTAATTAAGCATGAAAAACTGCAGCATTTGAAGCTGCGTGATAACCGCTGTTCTCCTGAACAACAGAATGGTGGTGCATTCCAGTATTTCCAGTTTGCCTCCTTTGGGCATACGTGAGGACAGTAACTGAATGCAGTGTGAGTCAGTGAGTCAAATACATTTAATTAATTTCTGCTGCAGTGTTCATATTTATATTTAAATCTCAAATAAATCAAACTACCATGTTTGAGATTGAGAATTCACTCAGGTTTGGCTTGATCACATGGATTCACTCAGAGAAGATACCAAAGCAATGTTAACAGTACCATAGCGAAAAGAAATGCTGTCATGTGTGGTGTGCATGACTCACTTGGGGCCTCCACACTCAATAGCTGAGGCCTTGACCATAGGCAGCACTGTCATAGCAACAGGCTCAATAGTCAAAGAGTTATTCTCCACTGCACTCTGAACTGACTGCGACAGCTAGAGAGAGAGAGAGAGAGAGAGAGAGAGAGAGAGAGAGAGAGAGAGAGAAGAGAGAGAGAAAGAGAAAGAGAAAGAGAAAGAGAGAGAGAGAGAGAGAGACAAGATTATTTGCACAAATGTTCACTGTATACCAATATATGCAAAGCATATGCACACAAACTTGCATACTTCAGAGCGTGTGAAGGAGAGACAGGGCCCGATGTCCTCTCTGTAGATGCGGCTTATGAAGGCGGAGGATTGATCCAGGCTTGGAGCCTCCTTCCAAGACAAAAACTCAGCAAACAATACTGAGTCCAACTAGAAAGAGAGATGGTTAACCAAATAGGTAAATAATTTACATTTTGTTGTTTCGTCTCTTTACTACAGCATGCTTGGTTTGAAATGAAACAATGGGGATAAAACACAGGGTATAGAGTCTTCACAAGCAAGCCAAACAAAAAGCTGAACACAAACAAAAAGGTTCTGTTTTAAGAAAATTATGCCCAATTAGGCAATGAGGTTTAAAATGAAGTTTAAAAATTAATGAACGTGTTAAATACACACATGCAGAACACAAAGCATAAATAAAACTACTAAATGAGAGTAACATGGTTGTTTGAACATGGTGAAAAAAAAACACACAAGTGGGCAGCCAGTATGACCAACCATGTCCCAAAAAAAAAAAAAAAATAAATAAATAAATATCATATGGTTCCATGAGCATGAGAAGGGGTTGTAGTCACACAGACCCCCTGTCTGGCAGTTACCTGATGAGGGCTTTCTCTCGTAGATCACATTCAGATCGAGAGTGAGTCAGACAAGACACAGAACCAGAGAGAAGAAAGCAGGAGCTGCAGACAGAGAGAGAGAAGTAGAAAGAAAGTGGCATCAGTAATAGACAGAGGCAGATGGAAATAAGGGTAAGAGTGGTCAACAGTGGAGAAGTGAAAGGCGACCATATGGTTTGTAAAAAGAGCAACGAAGCAAGAGAAAATGTGAAGAAAAGCGTGGCAGAGGAGGAGAAGGAGGGAATACAGGCAGACAACAGAGGAAGTACACTAGTATTAGTTGGATGAATTGGTATTTGGTATCCAAGCCTGTGCTGGTGTCAGGCTTGAACAAAGCAAAGAATCTACTACTTCCAGTCTGTGCAATCCAGCCTTAAGACTTTAGTCCCTGTTCATCTGCTATCGGCCTCAGTGGCTCTGCTCACAGACGAGCACGGACTGTCTGATATTTAATGCTCATTAATTGAGCCACAAATGTTGGAATTTTGTCAGTCTCATTCCGGCTGGCTTTCCACATATTGCTGTATTCTCCTGTACACCAGTTTTAACTGAGAGGAAGCATACTTTTGCAAGTAACTGCTCTGTGTGCTGTGACAGTAAGTTTTTCAGAGCAAGATGATGTTCATGGCATTTCTTTGAAGCATTTAGTAACTACTAGTAACGCACACATCCTTGCATGTTTGCTGACGTGTGCCACAGTATTGCATGTGGGGGCGTAATTTTGTTGAAGCCCATTTTGAGAATGACCTGCTCCTACACATGAGGCTAAAACAGTCAAGGACCCTTTTCTGTCAAAGTAAGCGGATCTTGGCCACATTGAGTGATGAAACCGATCTGATTATCTGACAACAGGCAGACATCTGGCTTGCGAGACCACTGTTCACCCAAACCTCTTTGTCTATGTTTGTGTATGTATGTACCTCTTTGTCTTCTCGGTTTGTCGGTGGTGGTGCAGAGGGTGGCTCCTGCTGTAGATGAGGCAGGCTGAGGGTGGCACTCTTGTTACGTGTGTGACCACCAGGGCGAGACAAGGTTGCTCTGGAGCCTGTAGACTGCAGCTGTGGGTGCAGCTGGCGGTTGGGGGAGGACGGAGTGGAGGTCAACACCAGAGTCTTTAGGGCAGACACCTCCGCCTGCAGGACATCAATCTGAGAGAAGGACGAGAAGGCATGTAAGACCAGCCTTGATGAGGATGTAGAGGAATATGAAAAGGATGGATGGACAGAGAAATAGAGGTTACCTTGCCCTGTGCCTCCTTCAGTTGCTTTTCGGCTGCAGCCTGTTTTACATTAGCCTCCCGGACCATCTTATGAGCCTCCTGGAGAAGTGATGCATGTTAGTAACAACATAAAAAACTTGGAAAACACATCAGCTATACTGAGACAATGATCTTCATTACTGCTTTAAAATACATGTGCATATGATAGGATTATGTACTCACTAAACTATCTCACCTCAAAGAGACTGGCAGTCAGTTCCTCTAGTTCCTGCTCCAGCTGGTCTCTCACTTGAGACAACCGCTCACACTCCTCCCCCTTCAGCTTCAGCTCCTGCAGAGAGACAATATTAATGGAATAGAACAAAATGGAGTAGCATGGAAGTGAACGGAATGGAACGGAATAGTATAGAAAATAAAATAAAATAAAATAAAATAATTATTGTTAAATTGTTAAAAATCCTTGTTGAGATGAAAACAGATGACATGAGATGAGACTAAGTCACTGGTATTGGATGTTGTGTGTAGGTGACAATGAGAGAATATATGACTTCACTAATATTGTGACTTTAAGTAGAGCACCGCTGTAATGGACTATCCTAAAGGTATCGTATGTTTTTAAATGAGTGCATGTCTACCTTCTGGGCAGCGTCCAGCTGCTCTCTGAGGAACTCTGTGCCCTTTTCTCTAATCTCCAGAGAAGAGCTCCGCAGGCGAGACACATTGAAGGTGTCTCCTCCTTGAGCCCCTGCCTCTTGTTGGAGCATTATCTCTCCTTGTCCCCCTCCCAGCACTACACTAGGGTCTGGCTCAGGCTCCAGGTCTATCAACCTGCAGAGACACGTATGGAATCCATTACTCGACTTTTGACAGCTTCCCCACAAACACCAATCCCACAAGCAAGAAACAGGCTAATCAGTATAGGCTAGGCCAAATTCAGCTAATCTAGGGAGCAGCAGCAGCAGTATTAGTAGTACTATCAGTAGAAGTCTTCCTCACACAGACCAACGCTCAAAACTGAAACCCATACGTCGTCCTTTTGGACATATTAGTGTCATTTGTGTACAGATTCAGTAAACTGAAACATGTAGTGCACTACACAGGGAGCAGGGAGCCATTTGGGATTCGTCCATACTAATCAAAGCACAGCAAACAGCATATCACCACAACCAACAACAAACCACACGGCACAGTGAAACTTAAAATAAACCTCAAAACACTCAGTACTCTGTATATTCTCTAGAATAAAGCTGAATCTAGACTTTAGTGTAACTTTTCAGCACGGTATGTCACTCAGACCGGATCCCCACCCTTACGATTCCCTTCGCAGTCCGACACAGCAGCATCCGCTCCAGCTCCAGATATAAAAACTCAGCTGAGCTTCGGCTCTTCCTCTGAAGCGTCCACCAAAAGAACAGCCCAGACACGGACTGAGGACCTTCAACAGACGCTCGGGACTTCTGTGACGCGTTATAACCCGAAGAGAAGAGAGCCAGCCGGCAGACAGACAGACGCAGTCCCGGCGCTCCTCTCACACTTGTGAAGAAAAGTGTTGAGGCAGCTGTAAACAGGTCACGTGACCCTCAGGCGGCTCTGCGCTTCATATCTGTTCTCAGGAAGCCGCGAGACTGACAGCGGTACGAGTGATTTGTTTAGGAAAACTGACGTTTTATTATCATATGGTTAATATTACAGAACTCATCGGTATTAATTAACATTATGAGTAGGTCTGTAAAACATATTTCTTCACTGACATCGACACATGCTGGGGCTCATCATGGGCTGCTGCTTTGGTTTAAGAGCTCTCGTCCTTTAAGAGGTGCTGGTCACTTTTAATTATTGTGTGTATTACATTACACATATTACTGCAGAAACGGCCTACAAAACCAAACAAATGCTCACAAATAAAACAGACAAGCTGAGGCTGTTGGTTAGGATATCATTAGGCAGTGCCAAAGGAATCCTCTCATACATACGTTCACTCACACACACACACGGGGCTAATCCACAATTTTGGGACCCTGTGTAAAAAGCACTCTCTATGGCCCTCCCTTCCCAAGTTTGTGTTCCCAACCTGTATTATTTTATTTTTACTGTTTTTATTTTATAGGTCTACTTTATATTACATTTATGTGGTTTTATATGCAAAAAAAACAAACAAAAAAAACAGTCACAGTTCATTTTTACATGGCCATTTTAATCAGGCTGTTTTTGTTACTGTACCTTTAAATTGTATAAATGAGCTCTGTTCTGATTGGCTGCCCTGTTTTGTGCCTCTTTCAGAAAGCAGTCATGGCTGAATCACTCCTTATTACTGAAACATGAATGGGCGTGGCCAAGCTGCTGTAGGTTAAATAGTGGATATATAAATGTGTTGGTTTTTGTGACATCATAAAAACAGTGAATTCAAAACAGATTATTTTTGCAGGTTAATTCCACATATGGACCGTATGGAGTCCAAGGTGAATGGCACACAATAAAACTTAAAAAATATGTACGTAATAAATCAAACGCAATTTTGTTTTTCCATTATATGGCGCTTTAATATTGTACACCGAAGCAACCATTTTAATCAAGACCCCTTGAGGACCTCACCCACCTATGGGTCCTGGGTAGTCAGTTCCACTATTCCTCCAACTGTAACACCCCTGCCCACTCACATTCACATCTTCACCACATCATCGCCACCACATACCTTCCCACTGGACATCTCTCTTCTTTAGCTCTGCTGTGCTTGCTTCGTCGGTGATCTGAAAAGTCATCATTTCCAAAAAACGTATGAGAGGAGTACACTGCTATTCCTGAGCTACCTGTCACCAGCACCTCGTACCCTGGGCTCGATCTGGACACTGGGGGAGGAGAAGAGGACAGCTGCACAACATGAATCCCTTCAAAGGCATCCATCTTCCAGTGAGAGGTACTAACACAGCTCCAGGTGTCTATCAGGGTCTCTGGTTCTGGGTACTGACCTCCATTCTTCTCAGAAATCTCTCTGGGCCTGAATGCAACAAAAAGAATGTCTCTCTCTTAGAAACACTCTTACAAAGATAACAGGGCTCTCTACCATTCTTCACTGAACTGCCCAGTAAAAGTTGAGTCAGAGTTGATATTTCTTTTTCAGTTCAGTGTTAAGTCAATGTTAGTTTTCTGTGTGCTTTGATTCATGGGTTCCCATTCATGATATCATGTGTAACTAGAACATGCCCCTTAAAGGGCCCATGTCCTACGTTTCTTGCATTTTTCCACTAAGGTTTATGTCAGTTATGACATTTGTGTGGTTTTAAGAATTAAGAGCAGCTGCTTTTTACATGACATGTTTTTCAACCTCTCTTCATCCCTTAGAATTAGACAGGACTGTTTTTGTTGCTGTGCCTTTAAGATTGATATATGTAAATACAGTTGAGTAAATTCAACACGGGATGTTTTTAGTAGCTTAGATGACATATATGGATTTGGAAGGTATGTTCTGAAAAGTTAAGTGTTTACATACTTCATCAAACTTAAAAAAAAAACAAATAGAAGCTCATTTTTAGCTGTTTAAGCTGCTTTTAGCATCAGTGCATTAGTTGAGATGTCTGTATATGTGAGACACAACTTCTCCATCATTGTCTAGACTAAAAAAAGCCATTGTTTTGAAAAATTTGTATGATGTACTTTGGTCATAAGCCATTGCTGATCTCCTCTACACTAGTGTGGGTTAATCTTTGTCTCTTCTGTGGTTAAGACTTCAGAACATTAAGTGCTTTTAGCTAAATGAAGCTGTTTCCTGTTTTTGAGGCTTTGCATTTTGTGTTGTTCCATCTGAGGTTCTACAAGCGTAGTTTCTGATCTAACACATCTCTGCACTCAGGAGAACGTTCTTGAGATGTTTCTATGCTAATTTTCACAAATAAAATATTCTTTGCTTTCTTTCATCTTAATGATGTACTGATTTTACTATGCTGGTATTTTAGTTTTGTATAGATAATTGTTCACTCCCTGCTTAAAGGGGGAATCCACCAAAATGTCTGTAGAATTAAATTAAGATGTGAACAAAGTTATTGAGAATATGATGTGAGTTTGATGTGAAATGTGCTGTTCTAGAGAAACACATGTAGATTCCCTGAATATTTTAGATAGTATTTGCATTGTAGATATCATGACCCCAGTTCCTCTCACCACCACTGTAAAGAAGTCAGAGTCAGTAAGTCTCTCTACAGTGAGTCATTTCACATCAAACCATTCTGAACAATTTTATTTGCAGAAAATTTGAAAAAATTGGTGGTAATTCTCCTTTAAGTTGCATTACATCATTCCCCCATGATGTCCTCTGACTAGCCCTTATGTGCTTGCACTGTAAGTGCAGCAGAACACACCTGAACACATCAGCCTAATTAGAAGTAACTGCATAACCAAGCGTCCTAATACTAGTGGTGCCCTACAATGTGATAATGTGCAAAACATGCTGTTAATGCATGCCATGCACTTATGCCCTAAACATAGATTGCATTCCATTAATAACTGCATCCTGTCAGATTCTATCGTACAGAAAGTACAAAAACAGAAGGATAATTATGAAACTGAATTAAGTTAAAAATTGCATTTTCTCTGCTGATTTTCTGCATAGCCAGTCTGTCAGTTCTAAAGAGCAAGAGAGGGGTTTAGTGTTAAATGTAAACATAAGTACCGCATGCTATCTGAAAATAGAACTTCACCTACCTGGTGATGAACAGCGCTGGTATGGCTATTGAACTTAGGTTTTTGAGGAAAGCAATGTTTGCAGAATATCTGTGACAGAGAGTATTTAGCAGCTTTGAAATCCAGACGGTTTGTCCAGCACAAAAGAGATTATGGGAAAATTGGGCAGCCAAAGTCTCGCTCTGCTGTTCGCTGCCCGTGACCTCTCCCTCTGGCCGCCCTGGTCAGCCACGGGTTAAAGAGTAACTAAATTGGGCCAGTGGGCAGTTGGCATTTTCTCCACCAGATGGTGCTAGTAGAGTATCTGGAGCAATGTAGTAGTGCCAATATTCCTTCTCTTTAACCGCAGTTATTATAAATGAAGGTTCCAAAGCCTGTTCATTTAGCCTATTTATGGCACCTTTCAATATTGCATAATGTTATTCTTTATAGAAAAATTGTGTCCTGTTTGTGTGTGTGTGTGTGTGTGTGTGTGTGTTGGCTATTTTGCAGTGAAAGATTTGCTCAGATTACTAAACTGCCACTTGCCCACAATGCTCTTTTGTTGCTGAAAGAGATTAACATGTCAAGTGACCGGAGGTGTGGGCGTCCCTTTCCCTCTTTTCTTCCTCTCCTGCATCCCTCGCTCCACTGCCACTCATCAAGGCTGTCAACCTTCGCTTCATTACGCACCGTGAGTAGCTTTGATACTTACTGCCTTTCTTCATGTGATTAGTATATATAGGGGGTAAGTTTCTTATGTGTTGATTACATTAGCTTATAGACCACCAGCATGTAGGCACAGATTAAACTTCAGACTGAATGGTACTACGGCAGAGAGAGCTCACCTTCAAAAAAGGATTTTTCTTTCTTTCTTTCTTTCTTTCTATGGGTTTCCCTTAACAGCCTTGATCTCAAAATGAATAAGAGTGCATGCATGATACTCTAGTATCAAACAGCAGAGGTCATCAGCTGTGGTCCTGGTGGGCTGGTGTCCAGCACTGATTTTGCTGCTCAGGCATACCTGATTTAACTCATCCACTACTAGTTTAGCAATGTTTGAGCAGAGACATCAGCAAAATGTACTAGACATCAGTCTCTAAAAACAGAACTGCTGACAATGTCATACATTATATTTATTGTATTTTCTTGATACTTTACATTATTCATCATCTTATGTGCATGCATATGTGTCTTTTTTGTGTATTTTCATGTAGAATTCCAGCAACAGGTTCTCAGGTGTTGTGATATTGTGGTGAGAGTGGTGTGCGAGGTGCTACAGCTGGTCCTCCTGGCCAGCAGGGAGCAGAGATGACAGTGACGTACTCGCGCAGGGTTGCAGATGCCCGCCTGGGCACCTTCTCCCACCTGCTGCTGCGCTGGAAAGGCAGCATCTATAAGCTCCTGTACAGAGAGCTGCTTATCTTCACTGTGCTGTACTGTGCCATCAGCATCCTCTACAGGTACAGGCAGACAAGTGCTGCTGCCGCTCTGCTTTACAGTTTTACCTAAGGAGGCATTAGCAACTTAAATCAGTCAAACAACAACTTTTCAGATGGGCAACTTTTAGCAGCGCAGAGCTTGTGCTGTCTTGGATTTTCCATTTAGTCATGTTGTACTGGAAATGGCTGAAAGTATGTCATTTATCACTAATCCAGGAGTGGGGTCATCAGTCCTGGTGGGCGTTTGGTGATTTCCCTACTCTAATACACCTACTTAAGCTAGTAATTAACTAATGAGTTCAGTCAGGTGTTCCTGTATAGGGAAATGCCCAGACTTTCCTGGACTGCAGCACAGCACGACCATAAATCCACAATTCTGCACTGACCAAATACATACCAACATGCAACATAAGAATAAAATGTAGCTGTAGCTGTAGCTGAATTAGGGATAGGCGATATGGCAAAAATTTCATATCACAATACGTAAAGGCATTTTCACGATAAATGATACATATAATGATGTTTTGCCGCATTTAAAACTATTAAACTCTGAATACAGTGATTTTTATTCAACATTTCACACACTGCACTGCATTAATTATGCTGTCCTTGTAATGAAACATGCAGATGATGAGTCTTCTTTAGGTATGGATGATACCCATGACATACTTCGAAAACCACCCTGTTTATCATGACAACAATAAAATATCATGCCATTGCCCCCTCTAAGCTGAACATTGTTTGCAGGTTCCTCTTGGATGATGGACAGAGAAGGCTGTTTGAAAAGCTCGCCATCTATTGTGATCAGTATGCACAACTCATTCCTGTGTCCTTTGTGCTAGGTGAGTGGATGTTTCCTGTTATCTGTTATAGGTAGTTTACAGGACAAGGAAACATTCTTAACATTGAATGGGAGTTAATGGGTTCCCATGAAACCCAAGTAAATTTGGACCATTTCTGTTGCTCCATTCATCATTAAATTTTAAAACATTGTGAAAAGCAGCTTGTATTTTCAAATTATGTAAAAACAGTTAAAAACAGCAAAAGATTATACACTTCGATAAGGAACGCTTATTATCACAGCTTTCTCTGTCTTTCCTGCGACACTAACAATGTGATGGAATTAGATGTGCTTAACAGAATTAACCCCCTTAATATGTATAGATTATTGATGATTTTTATTGTTGCCTTTTCTCACTGCAGTCCTCTAGATCTTTTTCTCTCTCTTTCTCTCTCTCCTCTTTTTATTCCGTTGACCAAAAATAAAGATATTTGTTCTATATCAGTGCTCTCAGAGATCCCTGAGGGCAAAGTAGCAGTTAAAACCATAACAGGAGTGGAATTTGAGTGACGATGCCCATGAGGGTGAAGGAATGAGTGAGTGTGCTCTTGAGTGACCTGTAAGACTCGTTATGATTGTTCGATGTAAGCAGGTGTGTAAACAGGTGAACTGAAGCAACACTGGCTGCATGTTCAATCTCCGAAGTTGAGTAAATGTTCAATTCAGTGCATGTATGTGTTTGTTTGACAGGTTTCTATGTGACCCTTGTGGTGTCACGCTGGTGGGGACAGTTTGAGAGCGTTCCGTGGCCAGACCGCTTGGCTGCCTTGGTGGGGGGTCATGTTCGGGGAGCAGATGAGGGAGCCAGACTGATCCGCAGGAGTCTGGTGCGTTATGCTAACCTGTCCGGCGTCCTCATCTACCGCTCCATCAGCACTGCTGTTTACAAGAGGTTCCCCACAATGGAGCACCTGGTACAGGCAGGTACGCAGCATTTACTCTGCCTGCTTAATGTTACTCACTACAGGTGAGCTTTATTAAACCCTACCTACATCTCATCAAGGCTTACACTCATACCAGCACAGGTACACTGTAAGCTAGATTACACTCTTTCTCTTAGCGCACATGCTTGTTGATGTGCGGATAGAGTAGCTCGAAAAGGTTTTTCTCAAGTTAATAAAGTTATTTTCATGTTTCGGGGTTCACAGTTGTCTGTTATAAAATGTGTTAAACTCTAGAACTATAGCTGTTTATCTTTGGAAAATAACACCTGAAAAAAGTACATATATGAATAATAAAATATAAAACATTAGGGGCAGATCAATTAACCAATCAATATTTAAACTCTGAGTACATTGAGGGAGACCCTCATGTACAATGTAGCTGAGCCAATACAGAGATCAGGGATTGAGAAGTTAAACAGTAAAAAACATACCAAATGCTAAAAGTATATATATTCATAGTAGTAAATAAAAAGAATAAATCAATAAACCATTAAAATTACAACATAGTAACTTAATAAATAAGATAAAATAAGTATAAATAAAATATATAATAAATGAAATAAATATAGAAAAAAGATGCAATACAATAGCTTGGCAATTATATACAGTAATATCTCATACAGTGTGGATTTAAAGACCTCAAACTATTTTCCATGAGGTATTTTGGATGTTTTGTTCAATATTTCAAGACTCCTATGAAAAATAATGCATCAAATGATAACTGATGCACTTTATTTATCCATTTACATTTATTCATTTACAATGTATGTCTCATTTTTGTCAGATTTCTCTTTAAAACACTTTTTAGTGGTCTACTTAGGCACGGTCGTGTTGAGCATTTAAGCATGGGAACTCTGCTGATATAGATATCTGCACTTAAACACTTAAACAAAAATTATTTACCTTGAGATTTAAAGTCCAGTTTTGAAATATGATGAATTCTAGATATGTTTTTATTATAACTTAATTCTCAATATCATACAGCTTCTCTGTCATTCTAGTCCTTTTTACTACAGCTCTGTTCATCATTCTGAACACATCTTCTAATCTAATGTTCTAATGTTGCACATATTAGAATCATCTTATAGAATCATTTTATTTCATTTGTAATCAGGTTTCATATTATTTAAAAAACACTGATTCCAAACTTTTGAACATTCAAAAACAATAGAGTTCACTACAACAGCTGAATAGTTAGAGAAGCAGGTTTGGTTCTTCAGTGTTTTCCTTTCACAAAGGCAGTTTCAGTGGAACACCATAGAAAACTCTTGAGCAAAATCCTGGTGGTAACACAGGAAAAGAGTTGGGTTAAGTGACGTGGCCCAGGACGCTGATTAGAGCTCTGTGGAATGCTGCTGCTGTTGCTGTGGTACCCCCCAGTGTCTGGTATTGAGACTCAGCAAGAAAACAACAAGGATTAATGGTTTGTTTCTCTGGAGCCCTGACTGTATCAGCACAGAAAGGGACAAAAACATGAAGGCCAAATCTAACCAGTTTAAGATGAGCGTTCACACATGAACACACAAACGTGGGAGATACTGAACATTGACACATGTTGTAGCATTCTGTCTTTTCTCATTCTTCCGTTCTTTCCTTTTCTTTCTCTCCCTTGTTCCTCTCCAGGGCTGATGACAGTAGAGGAGCTCAGGCAGCTGGAGGAACTGCCGTCTCCTCATAATAAGTTTTGGGTTCCCTGTATGTGGTTTGTCAGCCTGGCACTTAGAGCAAGGACAGAGGGACGCATCAACAATGACGTCGCACTCTCTGCTATTCTAAACGTACGTCTGACAGCTGTTTGTGTGCCTGCATGATGAAGCCTCGTTTTGTAGCATGTTTTGGGAAGTGTTGCAGAAAACTATTCAGTTTCATCATGAATAGAGAATACAGTGAAAGTGCTGCATCACTGTGTAAACGCTTTTTCAGATAGCACTGGCAGTTCTGCATGTGTTGTGTGTCTCTTCTTCCCTTTTAGGAGTTAAGTACGTTACGCTCTCAGTGCATGAAGCTGTACAGTTATGACTGGATCAGTCTGCCACTTGTATACACTCAGGTCTGGCTGATCAAACTAGAGTAGCGCCATATTCACTTTACTAACAACCAACAAGGTCGAAACGATGAAAATGATGATGAAATTCATGTGATGAAAACATTAATGAGTGATTTACCCATAAATACTCAGCTGTATTCACTAATGTATTCACTAACCTCATTAGAAAGTCATGATTTTTGGTAGAAAAATGTACAGACTTGCAAATGCAAAATAATGTTGATTCTGTGGTAATGCAGAAAATCCATCTTCAGTACTGATTAAAAGTCAGAGACCACCCTTCATTAATTTCCATTCAAAATTGCCATCAATTACAAGTTATTCATTTTTGGGAGATATTTCTGAGAAGATTAAATATAAGATAATCCTCTTGTATAAAGAAGAGGAAACTCAAAGGAGAATAAGTGAAAAAACTTTCAGTTTTAAAAGTTTAAAAAAGTTCAGATCTGAAAAAATCAGCAGGTGTTTCTGTCCATCCCTCCACTGTAAGAAGACAACTCAACACTATGAGTCTGAAAGGATGTGTAGCTGTTAAGAAGCCCTTAATTAAAAATAAATAAATAAATAAAGAAGAAAATTTGCAAATCAAACAAAAAAGCTGCTGCTCTCAAAACAGTAGACTGACCACCATCCACTGAGTCCAACGTCACTGAATGTGTTTGGGATTATTTGGGTTATGAGGAGCAGAAAAAAACAACCAACTTCGAAGACTGAACTCTGGAGGTGCGAAAATATCCCTGCAGATTTCTTTGAAAAACTGATAAAAATTATATTTAGTTGTTGAGGCATATGTGTCATTTTCCAGTAACTATATGGTTTCTGCTTTTTTCCTGTTATTTAAAATGATCTACTTAATGGTCTTTGACTTTAGCCCAGTACTGTATGTTCTAGTCTAAATCAGTCTGTAGACTCCTTTAAAGCTCACATGTTGTTTGACTCTGTCATTTTGGGCAGGTGGTAACCGTGGCTGTATACAGTTTCTTCTTGGCTTGTCTGATTGGTCGGCAGTTTCTTGACCCGACCCAAGGCTACCCAGGTCACGACCTTGACTTCTATCTTCCTGTCTTCACCCTGTTGCAGTTCTTCTTCTATGTCGGCTGGCTCAAGGTGTGTGTGTGTGTGTGTGTGTGTGTGTGTGTGTGCGTGTGTGTGTGTGTGTGTGTGTGGGCTCCATAGCTTAAACAAACAGGCCAAAAGCACCAATATTTATTCAAGATAAAGCAAATGGCTCTGGAATGACCTGCAGAAGGCTTAAAATGGCTGGGCTCTGTCTGTGATGGAGCTCAACAATGACACTTAATATTGGTTTTGTATTTAAAGGTAGCAGAGCAACTCATCAATCCATTTGGGGAAGATGATGATGACTTTGAAACAAACTGGCTGGTGGACCGCAATTTACAGGTATCTACATGTTTTCCAGTATGGTGTCTGCATTCAGATTGCTGCTCCCCATCTCTCTGCTTTCCTTCTCCCACTACTGCAGTAGAGCACTGTAGAAGATTAGGATGGTTTTGTATACTATATAGAAAAAAAATACATCTTGCACATAAAATCTGTGTCTCTTTCTACCTCTCAGGTATCTCTGCTGTCAGTTGATGATATGTATGATCTAGTTCCGGTTGTAGAGAGGGATAAATACTGGAATGAATCAGAGCCCCAGCCTCCTTATACAGCTGCCAGTGCTGAACACCGAAAACCCTCATATATGGGGTCTGCTCTGGACATCAGGCAAGTGTTCCATAGTAACCCTGGAAGTTACTATGAATTGCTCACAGTACATATATCATACACTGATATTTAGCAACTGTTTTGAAGGGATGCTTTCTGTTTTTGTGAAAACAAGCCACAAAAAATAAGTTGACATCTTCTATTTGCTTGATGTATGTGTCTAGGAGTAGTGCAGTTGCTAGAGACTTTGCATGGGTTGCATAGGAAGGAAGCAGTCAATGCTCAATCTTATCTGCAAAGGGCCAGTGTGGCTGTGGGTTGTTATATCAACCAAGCAGGTAGAATAACTGGTACTCAAAATTTGTGGCATTTGTCTGCAAATTTTAGCACACATTTTCTGTTTATTTGAGTTTAATACACTGTTAGAAAAAAATGTACGGTGCAGGTACATTTTTCATTCATCAGTGTACAAACAATGTAAATGTACCCTCAGAGGTACAACAGTGGTTTTAAGGTCCAGTTGTGTATCTTAAATTCGTTTTTCCCAGTGGAAAAGTACGTGTTTGTATCTTTTTTATAAACTAGTTTTAACACAGAACAATAAAATAAAAAGCCTGGAGACGAGACGGGGTGTGTGGAGACAATACAACTTAGAAAATATCATTTCAATGGATTATGGTACAGTTATGTACCCTTGAGGGTACCGCCCCAGTGACAATATATTTCATACCTTAATTTCTGAGAGTGTATATGGGAAAAGAAAACATAACATGTGCCAAAACTTTTGCACAGGCAACAATTTGTTTTTTTTCAACATGTTAAATTCAGCAAATAAATAAATAAATAAATAAATAAATAAATACAGTAATTGTGCATTAAGTGTGCAGATATTTGTTGTCTGAGCTCTAAACTTTTGGATCTGACTGTATGTGATGCACATTTGTGTATTTTATGGATAACAGTGTGTCATAAGGTGTCAGAAACCACATGAGCAAGCCTGTTTGATAACTGATTACTAAACATACTGATGTAGGGTGTGATGATGTAGGTGTGCAGTTTTCTAATGGGTGTGTATAAACTTCCACCACTTGTCAGCTCCAATAGCCTTGTAGCACTAGTGCAAAACTAACAAAGCAAATTTCAGACACCAAACATGACTTGGCTGGTTGACTATATTTGAGGAAAGGGGAAAATTGTGTTTGATGTTCAGCTGAAACATCATTTTAATTGTTTAAAGTCTGAGAATTGTTTAAACAAGTGCAATTAGGTGTAGGGAAGAAAGAAGGAAAAAGAAAGAGAAATAAAACCTGCAACCACACTTGTCCTTGACTGGACAACCCTGACTTAATTGCTCAAACACTTTGCATCCATTGTTTGGTATGTATCAGTGATCAACACTTGACTAATTATTTTTGTGTTCTAAAATACAATAAGAAACTACAAGATTTCTACAGTGCTGTAATGCTTCTATCATTTGTATAGATGTGTAGTTTCATGTAGTAATTGTTCTAATTTACTATACAGTTCTTATAGGATTCATATGGAAATTCCAGTCTTATTACTGTAGTTGCTTTCTGTACTGGTATGAGTGTGCTGTGGTCTCATTATAGTTTCAGTTATGAAAACCTTTTGTAGAAATGAGCTACTTTTTAAATGTAACTCTCTCTTCCCCAGCGTTCCCAAAGAGGAGATGGAGTTCCAGCACAATCTAGAGCAGATAAAGGAACACGAAGAAGCCAACCATTCCACTCCCCTGCTAGGCAGTCTGAGTCGTCTGTTGGGTGTGCAGTCTCCCAGTTTCCCTCGCGCTGCTCCTTCTTCCAGAGTTTCTCTCCTCCGTCGCCGTCCCCGAGCTCCTCTTAGCCGTTTCCCTCTATACCTTCACCCCGAGGCTATCGCCTTGGCTGGCCACGCCCACAGCCCACCAGAACGAGACATGGCTGAGTATGCCTTTTCCTCCATGCCCCTTTATGAGAGACCTGGCTTCTACAGCTGCCCGCAGACGCCCATTCACTGTGTTCCCCCGCCTGTCCACAGGCCCCGTCCCCCCCGCAGGCCACAGGGCGACTTGGCACAAAGTTCCAGTTCCCTGGCTCACCCTCTGCTGGGGTCACAGCAGTTGCTTCCTCCGGATACCCCTGGTCATATCCCGTCCCTGCCCTCTTCGGCCTTCCCCTGGGTGGGAGGGGATGGGGAACTCCCGCCTGCACCCACTTTCTCCTTCCCTGACCCTCTGCCCAAACCACGGCCCACTCAGGGCCTCCTGTCCCATCGCCCTTTGCCTCCTCGTCTCTCTCTTGATACCCCTCCCCCAATGGAGCCACAGCCAGGACCCCCCAGCGCCCGTGGTGGTGGAGAGAGGGTGTTCTCATTCAACCCTCCCTCACGGAATCTCATCCAGACCAGCACAAGCTCAGGGTGCGCAAACTCCCCCAACACAACCAACAGCAATAACAACATCATCAACAGCACAGGTAGCCTCTGCAATGGCACTGGACTTGCAGGCAGCTCAGTAAACAACCTACGACCCATCAACAGAAGCACCACAGCCCTGACCAACACAGCCAATGCAGTCGCTCCTGCTGCTATGGCAACGCCACAAACAACCAATCAGCACAATTCCCCCAATGATTCTGGGATTTCACTGTCTGAAGGGGATTTGATTGGCGGGATGGTGCAGAGTGGGACCATGAAAGCCAGTTGAGCGAGGGAACAATACTGAGGCAGTTGAAGAGGAGGGATGGTCTGCTTCAGTATGATCAATATACTGATGCCGAAAGTTCAGACAACGACGCTATTTGTGTTCAGCAGTGAACCGAATAATAGCTCCTTTGACAAGGTGGACAAACAGATGGACAATTATGTATAATCATTCTCATGATGAAGAGAACTAATGCATAATAAGCAGGAGGACTATTGAGATGACTGAATAGAGCTTGCATCTGGTAATATTGCTGTACCTAAGAAGAGCAGGCAGACAGTACCTGTTGTCTTACACTCTTATGGTTGATTGTCTTAAAACGTCTAAACTTTTCAGATTTACCCAGCAGTAAGCAATTAGAAAAACAGCAATCTCAGACACACTTACTGAAGCACAGCAAAGTATTGAAAATGTAAAAATGTAAAAAGTAACATTAGATTTCTGCAGTATCTGCAGTAAATTGTACTGTAAGTCTTGTATTACTCTTGTTAAAGTTACTTGTTGCTAGGGTAAAAGTGAGAGGTCAGTGCAGGCAGAGGAAAATAGCAAAGGGCAGTGTAAAAGAAAAGTAGTAGTTATAGCCTTTCTCAAACTGTGTCAAAATCCAACAAGTGTACATCATATTACTGTGTCTTTTGTCATTCTGTTATATGTAGTTGGTGACTTTTTTGTTTCTGTGGTGGCTTAAATAGACTTTGTTGGTAACCCTTTCAGAACCATGTGTACAGATTTTTGCATGTTGACATCACTACTCAGTAGTCAGGTGTTTTCTCCTCATGACTTTTAAACTGAGACTCTGACGCAGTCTAGCGCAGTGGTTCTCAAACTGGTCTTCAGGGACCCCCATATAGTCCACATTTTTGCTCTATCCCTATGTTGCAAGATATCTTGGAGCAAAAATCTGGACCCCTGAAGTCCAGTTTAAGAACCACTGCATAGCGGCAGGCCACAGTACAAATCTCAATCTTGCCCACATTCATGTTAGTGAATACACAGGCTGAACTAACATTTGAAGTACAGTGGTTCTTGGCACAGGCAGCCTAGACAACTGTCTGGGGGGGGCAACCTGCCAGGGCTGGCACTCTGAAATCATTGTAGCCCCCCATGGATCAACACTGCCTTAAGGTTTGGGTAGTTGACAATTTCTAAATCATGTTATTAAAGGGGAATGCCACAGATTTTTCAAAATTCTGTATAATTGAATCATTGAGTAGGGCTGGTACAAGTTTAAAACGTCTCTGAAACACTCTGTAGTGATGTAAATTCACGGTTAAAATGAACAGATATATTACAATTTATAAAACAGATAGAGCCAAAGTACACTAAAAAATGCATTTGTCCTCTTTTATAAAGAACTGAAGAGTGATTATTGTAACCCATAGGAAAAAATGGGCGTGGAGATATATTTTTTTATATGTGAGATACATTTTAAATACACTGTATCATCCCAAAATATATTACTAACATTAATTCCCTAAAAATTAAACATTTAAAAGTATTTTGGCAATTTCCCTACATTTTCAAACATTAAATGCTCTAAAGGTTGATTTACTTTCCGTATGGGAATCTGTACAACAGTGTAAAACGGCTCCAGTCCGCTGGATGGCGACAATCAATCAAGCTTCCTTACGGTTTGAGCCACAAACATTTGGAGGACGAGCTTCAAGCGCAGATCAACGGGCTGAATCCCGAACGGCTCCGTGCCGCGCAGGGAGAGCGCTGTTTGAGTGCAGTGGACACTGCTGGGCTCCGTGGAGCATGTAGTGCACTACCCAGGGAGGGGGGAGGCATTGGGGGTTGAGCCAAGGACTTCTGACCGCGGGATTCAAACCTGAAGACACTAGAAAACAGCACAGACTTCACGAAAACGAGCCAACAGTAAACACAAAACATTTAAACATGGCGTTTACACTTCACCAGCCGAGTGGTGCTTTACTGCATTGATTCTAGTATCTGAGGTGAACCTGTTCTCTGTCTTTTGCTCGTGTTAATTTCTCTGAGAGCCCCCCGTAGCTGCAGTAGGTCATGGATTCTCAGGCCACTGATTCCCCCAGAACTGTGTTCTTTGACTTGGAGACTACTGGTCTGGGTATGTATTTATCAGCTTACCAGAACATTTTTGTGCATTATATTCCTAGAGTTGCTCTCTGTATCCATCATAACATGCTGTGAATTTGACCTTCTTCTCATCCAGGGCCCTCATGTGACATTGTTCAGCTAGCAGCAGTGAGTGGCAGCCACACACTAAACCTTTTTATGGTCCCCCGCTGTAGGATGGAGCCCGGGGCCTCCAGAGTCACTGGCTTTAGAGTGCGAAGGCACCAGCTCTTCCTGCACCGCAGACCTGTGCTCACGAACTCTCTGAGAGAAGCCCTGGTGTCCTTCATAACCTTCCTTCGCATGTTCGGACGCCCGCTTTTGGTGGGCCACAACATTCGCCGCTTTGACTGCCTTTGTGTTGGCCAGAGCTTTAGATGAGTTTGGATTGAAAGCAGCCTTCCAGACAGGAGTTGTGGGCTTCCTGGACAGTCTCCCTCTGGCTCGCCAGCTTCTCAAGGACAGTGGCATCCAGAGCTTCAAGCAGGAGAACCTGGTTAAGACTGTGCTGGGATGTTTCCTATGCCGCTCACAATGCCTTGGCTGACGTACAAGCCCTGCAGAAGCTTTATTGGGCCCTCAGTCCCACAGCCAGTCAAATTCAGCAGCACATGTTCAGTCTGGACTCGCTGAATACCATGGCTGTCAAGCCTGCAAGACTACCAGCAAAGAGTGACTTATGTGAGCACTTCCAAAAGGCAGTGAAAGTCACAGTGGACAGCAGTAGAGACGTCTAAACTTTTGTTATAATAGACCAGACAAAAACGATGCTCCTAGTACAACAATTTGTGTGAAAGGGGATATTATCTCTGATACAACACCCTCCCCGGGTCCAAAATGTGGGATTATTGTTGAAAATACTAGCGTTGAACAAGGCACCTTTCTTTGACTGCACATGTAGCCATATGACCATTCACACCATTGTAGCTACTGCACTGCTAGCGCAAAATCAGTTGGACATGGATACAAATCTAAGTGTAACCTTTTATATGTTTTTAAGAATAGTTATGAAATTCCTTCATTTTAATAAAAGCTTAATTATCTGAAGTATATATTTTCAGGCTGTTTTTTTACATGCTGTTCTTTTATGTTTTACTCATCTTTTCATACTCATATCTCAATTTTTATTTCTTTTTTACATCACTTTAAATCTCCAGCTGCCCTTTACATTGCACGAAAAGTTTGCGGCAAATGGATGAATAGAAATGGTTCAAAATTACTTGGAAATTGTGAAAAATTGTTACATTATAAAAAGGTAAGAGGTTTTCTTTCTTCTGTACAGTTACCATCTTGGAGATGGAAGGTTTTGTTCTGACAGCGATGATATGCTTGTGTGTTAAGAGCTGATCTAGGCCTTTGGAACTGCAGCACCCTGTCATTTCATAGACAGTTAACTTAAAAGGTTTATTGGAACATATTTGGTAGTAACGCTTGGGTGTAAATGTAGGTGCGGTTACACACTGTAAAAAATGGTTTCTCAGTATAACCTGAAAAAAAATGTACTTCATGCGGTAATAAGCAACTGTTTAACTCCAAAAAATACTTCAAATAAAACGGTGCAAAGAAAAAAAAAGTTTAGCTAAACAAGCCAATATTTTTTTAGCAGTTTAACCTTAAAAAAAACAGCAGCCCTGTTCAACTTTTTTCTTAACGTGTAGACAATCATTGGGGCCTCAGCAGTTGCTATATTATACAAAGAACTAAAATAAAGACACACAGAACAAGTAAAGAACTGATATTTATTAGGGTTATACAGCTTTGACAGACTCATGCCACAGCAGATTCAAAAATGCCAATCCATGCCTACATTCCAAACCTTCACTGGAGGTAGCAGTCACATTATATGAAGTCCATCTTGTAGCTTTGAGACACAACCTGCCTCAGTTCATCACAGATAAAAGTGCACAGAATTTACAGTAAACAAACATTAGGATAACATTAATTGCTGTCTTGTGTTGCTAGACAGCAGTAGTGCTAATGTAAGCAGCATCTGAGCAAACACACAAGATAACTTCAGGACCAGGAGGTAACAGTAACAACTTTCAAGTCTAAAACCTAAAATCATTAAAAACGTTTTAACATCAGATGTGCAATGTTTGAACCATACTTTGATTTTCATAGAGGTTAAATCTCCAAGCGCGTATCCAGCACAAGCAGGGTCGGATTAAAAAAAGGTTAAAACATTTTAGTTGGTTCAGAAAAAGACTAAAAGCAGTTCATTGTCATTGAAAATGACTAAAAACGTCCCTGAACAGTGATCTGTTTCTCTTAAAGAGTAAAATCCACATGATGTAGATCCTAACAGCATATTAACTATTGGTGGACTGTATGGTTTCCCTTCAAACAGATTAACTCAAACAAATCCAAGATCAAAAATAACCGTTTTAAATGCATTTTTTCTTCCACTAACCACCACCCTAATATAAAGAGGAAAAGAATTACCTTGCTGAATGCTAAATTCAAACTCAAACATATATAAAAGTAGACCAAACATGCATCTGTGCATTCTCAAATAATTCATCTAAATGTTCTACATGTGTTGAGCTAAAAAAATCGGTAATTGAGTGGTAACTCTATTCTGTTAAATATTCATGCACAGGCATTTTAATAGGGAAGAAGTGAATTGCCCCAATCATTATACAAGGAGATATTTGTTTTTGTTAATATTCATTTGATATAGTTTGTCTTCAAGCAAATAAAATGATGACGAATATGTTTGTCATGCTCTGCTCACCTGTAAATTTGAATAACTTCATAATACTTTAATGTGAAGAGAGATATGATCTGGCACATAGTAAACTTTTCTATTTAACCGTCACACCGTTAGTAAAATCTCAGTTCCCTAACTCAGCTCGGAAAAGGTTCAAACAACAGGACCACGAGGAAAAACTCCACAATATGTTCCCATTTACATGCTGGTGAATGTATGTGGTATTATACTGTTTGTTCCCTATCTGTCTGCATATTGCTGAAGTCTGTGTAATGATCCTCAATAGTTATGTTCCCTCAAATTCACGGACAAATAAGCAACATTAAAACAGGGCTAAATTCTGACATCATATCAGATCCCATCAAGATAAAACAGAATACTCAACAAAGACTCGTTCATCTACAGCAAACAGCAGGCCCGGAACATAGTCATCCCAGTTGACGATGTCACCTGCAGCGTGACGCTCTCATTGGCCGAAACGAAGAGCACAGAACCCCTCCGCAGCATGATGTCAGCGAAAGCAGCAGCCGAGGAAGCGCTGGCCTCACCCTGAACCACAAGCAGAATTCCAGCACAGTCCAGAGGGCTCACTGTGTACTGCTTCACTGAGGGAGGAATCTGCAGAAAAAACAGCAGTACATCAGTCTGACCTCAAGCAATACAAAAATCTAATTTACACAACATTTACCCCAAACATAGTCAGCCAGTCAAGACTATGTTTGGTGTGTGATGTTTGCTTCTTTAGTTTCACACTGGAGCTATGACCAAGCAATATTGTGTAATCTGCACGCCTAGATCATTGCACATGTGCCTGAACTCTGAAGAGCTCCTAATTAATCTCAAATAAACACGCTTTTGTGGTTTATCAAAATAACAAAATTTATCAAAATAACCATAAATCATATTGCCTCAATTACACAGTTTAATAAACAGCATAAGCAAGTCTTTCTGATTAATTAACAACCCAACTCAGTTTGATACAAGTGTGTGAAGGCGTAGGGTTAGGCGTGCAGTTTGTAAGTGTGTAAAATATTGAAAACAAATTGAATTCCTAGTTTCTGATTTATTTTTTCTGACATCTGATATCATATCGTGTATTGTAAAAACCCTCTTGAAGTATTGTGATATGACATTTTGCCTCACTGCCCTTCTCTACTTGGCTGGTTTACTGTATTGATGGATGGCTGTGTAAATTACATTTTTTCAAAAGCATCACTTTAATGTTTGAATCAGGAATTGCCAAAATAGTGCCATGGGAAAACCTGGGACTCTGAATTTACTACCAGAGAGCTGAACATAATGTACTGTACAGCTATATTATGTAACATTGTACCATTCTTTGCCCTGTATTAATACAGTACCCAGCAATGCCCTGTCCAATATTTGTTTACAATGTACTATAAATGGAAGAGAAACAAACAAAGGCAAATTTGCTATTTTGGTCTCTACTACAATGCAAAGCATGTCCAATAAGGTTACACACTAAGACTTCATTGTATTGAGTCAGTACAGTAACATAACATTACAGTAACATAAACAGTAATTCTGCATTAGGCCCTAGTCTGCATCCTATCTGGAAAAATGAAAACTAAATAAAATAGACTTACAGTTACGAAAGTCTTTCTATTCCACCAAGCTGTGAAACTCACCTGTATCCTCATGACAGTGAAGTCTGGTACAGGTGGATCGTACAGGTAGACGCAGGGGTCTGAGGGGTCTTGAATTGAGGGGAAAATTTTGGCACTGACTGGAGCAGGACAGTAGTTCAGCATTTCACACAACGTGTTCACATCAATGTACTTTGGGGTCAGGCCAGCCCGCACTGTGTTATCCGAACAGGCCATGCACTCAATGCAGTCTGTAAGACATATTATGGACAGGAAGAATTATGGTCAATATTGTTTACGGTGGATATTTTAGTCAGATAGTGTGTCAGTGTTTCTAGTTAGCAAAGAAATGGTGACAGTAACAATGCTTACAAAGTGTGTGAAAAATGTAAAACTTTCGTATGTTTGTTCTTACAGTGCATACAGTGCATGTTTGGATCTTGCACTTTGTAAAATACATGCTAAATTGCTAGAGATAACTAAAAGATGAAGTGACCTCCAGAGAGGTAGGCGTGAGGTTCGTTGGCTCCCAGGAACATAGCCTCTCCAGGCTGCAGCACGATGCGGTTCAGAAAGTAGATAGAGAAGCAGCCGATGTCACCTGGATACTGCGAGTGCAGCCGCAGCAACAGCTCTCCATTACTGCTTGATGTATCCTTCCCTGCAGCCGCTAACATAGAAAAAGCATAATAAAGAATTTTGGTTTCTACTTAGCTACAGAAAAAAAATAAAGACCTTACCAGCTTACCTTCTTCTGACACTCTTTTCACAAGCATGTTCAGCTGGTCCACAAATACTTTCTTCTCACAGTTCATCATCCTGCTGAAGCACTTCTTCAGAGCCAGAGAGATTCGGCCTGGGTTACCTACACTGCTCTGCAGCTCGTCTGCTGCTTCATTACCTACCAAAGCATGAAACTCCGGGACGGCTGAAAAACACAGACACAGCTAACCGTTCAATACTCATGGACATACGGCAACAAACAACCATACACCATTGTAGTGGGAAAATAATTTAAGACATCCTCTACAGGGATCAAACATTTTTCTGGTAAAAGTAGTGCACAATTTCTGTTTTTTACTGAAATTATAAAACACAAAATATAAAAATATGCCCTAACCTTATTTTTCCCCTAATATGTTAAATTCAAAATTGTGCATTAAAATGTGTAGAAGCATGTTAACTTATTGTCACTTAGAAAATCAACAAAACATAATTTGCCCAGGGGTGCCCAAATTTTGCACACGACTGTATGTGTTTAGCACTCACCTTTGAGGAAACTGATGATTTCCTCCAGAGGCCGGAAGCCACAGAGGCCTTCAAACTGTGTGAGAGCGATGGCCATCTCAGGCTTATGGTTTTTGTCGGGGTAGTGCTCAGGAAACTGGGCATGAAGTTTGGCAGCCAGCTCCTGAGACAGTAATGAATTCATCAGAAAATGAAAAAATAGCGTTAATGGAATACAGTGTAGTAGAGTATGTAGTGTCAGTGTGTATTACAGTATGAAGTCTTTTCTTTTTTTTCAGGTACCTCGTCTACTCACCCTGTTGGGATGCGCCTGAATGGACAGTGCAGTGTTGACAGACAGCACTTTAAAGAGGAAGGGGAGCTGTCCCTGAAACATGTCTTTGACCTTTGATCCCAAGCATCCTGGGTAATCTGTGATCCACTGCCCCAGTGTCCTTTGAGATATCCTGTTGTCTTTGATAAGGGCATCACCTTTTGGGTGGGCTCCCATCCAAAGCTAAAGAAACGTATGTCATTTTAATACATATTTACATAAGTCCCACTGCCAGTACATGCCTGTAAATTTTGAGGCATTTAGTAGGATCTGGGCCCAGTTTCCCAAAAGCTGCTTAGTGTTAGTGTTAGTCTTAACCGGTAGAGAGAGCTTTCAGTGTGATGCTTGCTCTACAATGTAAGAATCAACTTTGTGCTAAGACGCTTTTGGGAAACCCAGCTCTGAGCAGTTAAGATGCTTCTGAACCCTTCAAAATTCTTCCTGGAGTTACTGTCTGCAGTCACATCATCAAAAAAACGAGTAAGTCAGTTCCACTGGCAGCCAGACATGCTTATACCAGAATATCCCACAGATGAGGTGCTGTGCTTTTGATCATGCCCAGATTAACTACTACAAGTTAATCTTCATCTCATCTATGAGACTTTGTCCCAGAATTCTCCATTTTTTAAGCAAACTTCTGCCCGACCTTCTGTACCGGTGATGTGTGTCTTGTGGTAAACACTCTAAAGCACGTCGTAGTTTTTTCTTTATGGTCATTTTTGACACTTTCCTACATATTGAAGAACATTCTTAACTTGTTTAACAGCCTTCTCTCATGATTCAAAGTATTCTTCATTCATCTCCTACTAAAGTCTGCAATGGTATACCATGTGATTTTCTTTTGCTAACCAGTGCCTTATTGCTTCCTAACAGAGCATAAACAGTTAGTACTGATACACCTCATGCTTCAGTGTATAATCTGTAATCTCTGCATTTTGATGCAGTGCTTTAGTGACAGCTGACACTTCTGTAGTGCTCATGTGGAGAGACAACAGCAACACACACCAGATAAAGAAATGTTGCATCTAGAATCAAACCTAGACCTTTAATTAGCACTCTTATGCATGAACTAATGATGCTACTACAAACCAAAACGAATGAGCAGCCAATTATACAATTATTAATGCCCTCCTGAAGTCAAGGAAGTCACATAAAAATGACTGTAATTTATAAATCGTTTACCCAATATAGATGTAAATATCACTGAAGCTGTTTTATTTAAGATGCAATGTGATACAGTTCAGAGCCAAAACCGACTAACCGATATGTATGTATATTCACCAACTGGCCACTTCATTAAAAACCACCTCCTTGTATCTACACTCTTTGTCCAGTTTATCAAGTCCACTTTCTATACAGACACAGCAGTACTGCTGGAGTTTTTGTCCACTCACTGTCCACTCTATTAGACACTCCTACCTTGTCAGTCCACCTTGTAGATGTAAAGTCAGAGACGATAGCTCATCTGCTGCTGCACAGTTTGTGTCGGTCATCCTATAGTCCTTCATCAGTGGTCACAGGATGCTGCCCACTGGACATTGCTGTCTGGATATTTTCAGTTGGTGGACTATTCTCAGTCCAGCAGTGATACTGAAGTGTTTAGAAACTCCAGCAGCACTGCTGTGTCTGATCCACTCGCACCAGCGCAACAAACATTAACATGCCACCACCACGTCAGTGTTACTGCATTGCTGAGAATGATCCGCCACCCAAATAGTACCTGCTCTGTGAGGGTCCATGGGGGTCCTGGACACTGAATAACAGGGTAAAAGGGGGCTAATAAAGTATGCAGAGAAACAGATGGACTACAGTCTGTAACTGTAGAACTACAAAGTGAACCTATATAGTAAGTGGAGCTGATAAAATGGACAATGAGTGTTTTAATGAAGTGACTGATATACTGAGATATATATACATACATATATATAAATGCTCTATACATTAAACGATAAGAATGTTTTTGCCCTTTTTTCCCATATACAATAAATACACACACAAACAAACATGAAGAAGAAAAAGGCTTGAGTTAAAACACAGGGAAGACAAAAGTAGACATAGCCTTTCACAGTGACCTTTCCTTTATGCTATTTAAAGACCCACTTGTAATTTGTATCCTCTCCATGGATCTCATGGGGGGGTCATTCATGACAACAGACCTAGGTGCCAACGCCAAACAGCAAAAACACGTATAATACAAGAACAGACCTTTATTTGACAAATGAAACAGTTGGCAGGTAACACTTGTGGCAAGGCTGAGCTGCCTGAGATTCCTCTCTGGTTTCCTCCCCTAATGGCTAATGAGCAGTGTCGAGATGAACAAGGAGATCAGTGACAGATCAGTACCAAGGGGCACCATTCTACAAAGGGCCCACCCTTACCTCAGCATACGGCTTGCCATCCTCTATTACAGCTTGGGGGTCTCCTCCAAGGACAAGTTTAGCCACCTCACTGTCCAGCCCCACCTTTCCCCAGGCATAGTTCTGGACCACGCAGGACAGTGGAAATACTGTGGACAGAAAACGCTTAGCCTTGAATTTTTACCACACCCACTATGCGCTATCCAGAGAGAAAGAAGGACACTGCTGTCTCCCACTCTCGTCGTATTTATTTAAGCTACACAGCAAGTCTTTTAGCAGTAAATGCATTTCAATCCATACTTCGAGACAGCTGAGCTGAGCTGAGCTACGGTGGCTGTACTGCGCTAAAGATGAGAGCACACCTGCAGCACCACACAGCAGGGCGTTAATACTCCCAGGTCTAACAGCGGATCGTTAGTTAGTGAGCTCGATGCTCTCGGTGATACAGCTGATGTTAAAGAATGAATGAAAACAGATGAAAGCGTAGACACAACTGACCTCTCACTTCCTCCATGTCTGCAACGTTGACTGTCACGACGTTGTGACGTCAAATAACTGGCATTAAACCTGGAATCTGCAACATTTACAGAGATAAATCATTATTTACAATATTTATTAACTATTCCTGTTTAGAACAACTTTCCAGTGACTCACGCGGATTTAACCCTTACTCCATCTGATGGAGTTTATGGATTTAACCCTAACATGACCAACTAGTTCACGACTTCACGAAACACAATTTCCACTGATTTTCTCATTTATATAGTGTTAAACAGAATACTCCATAATAAGCACGGATATATATCGTAAAATCCACACCTTTTGGATCAATAATAATATAGAAGCACAAAAAAGCCCAAATCTCACCGATGACGTTTTCCTCACAGTGCGGCGCATGCGCAAAGTTCAGCAGCTGCGGAAGTGCGAAGAGGAGCTGAGAGTCCGCGGCTGAAGCAGCAGCGCAGCGCTGTTTATTTTGTTCTTCAGTTTATTTTCTCTTTGTATTGAGCTTTGGGAGAAACTCCGTCAGCATGTCCGGCTTCGACACCAACCCATTCGAAAACCCGGTAGACGTTAACCCTTTTCAGGTGAGACTGAAGACTCCGCCGTCTTTTTTAACAGTTTTGAAAATTTCCTTTCAGTTTTTAGAGGCGTTTCTCAGGAAACCTATTGGCCGCGGTTTGGTTAAACCTGATTGGTCACAGCCACTGATTGACAGCTCACTCTGCCAGTAAAAGCGCGTCTTTACTGTGAAGAAGGGCGGGGACTGTTGTAGGAAGTTCTTCGCCCAGTGTTGCTGCTACGCGCACTACTGGAAAATTGTACACCGCCCTGGCTTTTACTGACATTTTATAAAGGTTTAGTGATGGGGGCTTAACAAAAGGTTTGGACTTAATACCGTGGCATAGTTGCCCAGTTTATTTTTTCCATTCAGCTGGTGTCCAGTAAAGTTTCGGCTTATTTATCATTGGCTAAATCATCAGCACTTTGGTTAAATTGGCTAGGCCTTCTGGGCTACAACAGAGTCAACAGGCAGCTTTTCTGTGTTTGCACTCATTTATTTGTAGGTATTACATTGGAAAATAGGGGCCGAAACAACATAATGTTAAAACAAAACTTTAATGCGTTATATGGCTTTATCTAACACTTTTAACAATATTAGATAAAGCCGCATAATGTCAGTAACCCTCATGGTCCTGCTGTTTACGGTCTTCATTTAACGTTAGCTGTACTTCCTTACTTTTTGAGAAATGGTTTGTTGTAACACATTGAAGTGAGGGTATACAGACATATTGCCCAACTTACTGAAGTGTAATGAAGTCATGTGTCCGTCCTTCTGACAAAGTGCAGTGGTCCTCAGAATCTGCAGCTGATGTAGTTTCCGTGTGTTTCCACAGAGTGCTCCCAGCAAATAGCTTTTTTTCTTTAAAAGCACTCCTCCTCCTCATAAAAAGGAAATGTAATACAAATCCTCCCGGCTGTAGTATATTAATTATTAGCTCTGAGACAGACTTAGAAGAACAGTTAGTTTTGGATAAAAAAATACATCAAAGTGACAAAATCCTGTATCTCTTTAATACAGTTCTAGTGTTTTGTATGATATAATTAAAGTGACAGTTTATTGGTTGGACAGGCGAAACCTTAAGGGTTTTAATGTGGACAGTAGTGGACAGCACTCAGATTTTAGCCTGCTCTGTAGCTGCATTTAATCGACTGCCTTACTTTGTAGCATCATAGAAGATCCGGGTTCTGAGACCAGCGTATAAATTAGCCATCATGAATATCTGTAGCCTGTAATTTAGTGTCTAATAGACTAAACTTGTATACACATTAGACTGGGTCCATTGACATGTATTAAACCACAGTGACAATGGTGTTTCACCTTTGAAAAGCCTGTTTAGTCTAAGATTAGTCTTAATCTGAGTCTGCATAGCTGTCCTGTTTTGTTCCAAAAAAGAACTTATGAGAACTTTGCTTTATGATATCCAGTTTATAGCATAATTAGCCCACATCCTGGAACAGGACAATGGAGCAGCTGTTATCTTTCTTTCCCTATCTTGCTTCTGAAGCAGTGCTTTGGGAGGAGAGCACGCCTCTTTTCTTCTGCATGATGTGATTGTTGCATGTTTGCTTGTAGGGTGGAGAGTGAAGCTAAAATAGGATGATTGAATTCAGTGGACTAGAGGTTTATTGAGTCAGGAAATCCAGTAAAAGTTAACTTGGTGGCTGGCCTGAAACAAGAGTGTGAAGTACCCAGAAGTTACAGTTTTAAACTGCAAGTGTCCGACTGACTGAAGTCTATTGAATCAAACAGGGCTATTCTTGCTGTGTGTGTGTATATATATATATATATATATATATATATATATATATATATATAGCCTATATGAAGCCGTCTGTGAAAAATGTACTTTGAATGGGTTATAAAATTCTAATGGAATTAGACGTGTTTACGCTGTAGAGGTGCAGAAATGACTGCTTATCTAAATGTGACTCCTGTGTGGTGGTGTGAGCTATAGCCTAACGTGAACACTTCAAGAGCATTGAGGGAGTGCCTGCAGGTGTGATCCGAGATGAGGATCGTATCAAATGACTCAAGCCTAAGAATACGTGTAGGCCTGAATTACATTCAGAATGGAAACTTCATTATACCAGTAAATTTGCTTGCGCTGGGATTTGTCTACACTATCAGAAGTAAAGGTGCTGTGCATATATGTTTTCTGTTTATCAGGGTACAAACAATGTAACTATACCCTCAAAGGGTCAACAGTGGTTTTGAGGTCCAACCGTGTACATTAAATACATTTTTTCCAGGGGAAGGGTAAGTATTTGTACCCTTTCACAACTTAATGTTTTAAAACAGAACCATAAAAGAAACAGTCTGCAGACAAGACAGAGTGTGTGTAGTCAATACAGTTTGAAAAATACAATTGCAAAAAATGACAGTACAATTATGTTACTCAGCTAAAGGTACTACAGAGGTATCCTTGAGGGTACCACCTCAGTGACAGCTTAGTACCTTTTTTCTGAGAGTTTACATCTGTTCCTGGAGCTGAGCATGAAAAATGTTAAATAGGTCAAAGCATGTGGCTACTTTTTTAAGCTCTGATGCAAAAGTGTTACTGTTTGGTAAGTTTAGTATATTTTACGATGTAAATGGCCTTGCCTGAAAAAAGAAGTGGTTTGGATCAAACACATAATCTGTAGAGCACATACACTGCTCACAATACAGTGTATTTAAATGGAGCTGAAGTTTGTAGATTTTTTTTCTGCTAAAAACAGTAATTACTCATACATGTTCACATGCTCACATGGCCAATAGCATATAGTGAGTCAAAGCAAGGCAAGTTTATTTGTATAGCACCTTTCATACACAGTGGCAATTCAAAGTGCTTTACACAAACAGAAAAATGAAAGCAGTAGATAGTAATACAGCTTATAACATTTCTGGGATCTCGCACCTCAGAAAGGCTTTTGCAAGCATTATTACAAAGACATAAGAGGTGCATAGGAAGCAAGAAATGCAATTGCGATTATACTCAAGTCATTTCCAGCATTCTAAGTGAGGAGGAGCACCAGAAGTTACTGCTTTCATCTGTTTAATAGCAGCCGTAGCTGAACAAAAATCTTACTTCGAAGTAATGCCAACCTCTAAGTTGTTAATCAGTCTTTGGGATACCCATGCCAGCAAACTTTTAAAAAACCCCCAAAGAGTTGACAAAGCTTGGGAGAACATTTAGATGTCAAGATGTCAGGAGCTAGAGATATAAGATAATGAAACACAGAAATATAGGATAGGCGACAGGAAATGTATTGCAGATATTTGGTCATATTATATACCATACTTTTCTACACACAAATGCAGCCAGGAGCATACAGCATGGAGTGCTGGAATGTTCAGCTTACATCAAGTATTTTAATGGGTGTTGTCATAGAAAATCATTTTTGGAACAAATATACACAAACACGCATATATACACATGCCATTTCTGTGCTATGTAGCGCAGTCCATTTCAGGAGCTATAGCAGGACTCAGCCTCACATATACATATATACGGAGGACCAGATTTGCCAAATTGAAAAATAAATAAAATAAAAAAATAAATGGCTCAGTAAATTAATAAATAAATAAAAAAAAAAGTATATATTGCCTATTGTGATTGTAATTATACACATTTCCTTTTTCTGCAGTTATATATTTCTCAGTGTATTTATTTCTGTATTTGTTTTATTAATGCCATTTTTATATTTTTTCCAGATCTATATTTTTAACAGTTGTTCGCTTTATTCATTGATTCATGTATTCATTTATTTTTTCATCAGTTCTTTTATTTATTTTTTCATTAATTCATTTATTTATTTCTGTATTTCTTCGTTCATATGATAATGAGGGGGCGTGTTTTTCACGTTCAGGCTTAGCAATCAAGACCAAGAGGAGAAGAGCTGTTAAAACTGTCCTTTTACCAACTCCATAGAGAACTGCACGGACAGACAAACCTGCCGATAAATAACTCTTGATGGCTTCCACAGGCAGTATGTGAGAAGGGCGTCCAAATGTCTGAGTAATCTGAAATTTGCAGAAAAAGATGATGAACCACCTCCTCCAAAGTTCTGAACACTACTGGTCGACCTCTTTATCAGCAGAGGCAGCGAAAATGGATCAAACTGCTAAATAGACATATAAATAAATGCAGACATTAATTTATATAAGATTTTAATTATTAATATATTAATTGTTATGTATATTTATTTATTTTTAGATGTGTCATTATTCTTTGCAATTCTACTTCATATATTAATTTGCTAAGTCATTTATTTTTAATTTTATTTATTTTTCATTTTGGCAAATCTGGTCCTCCATACATATAGACACTTTGTTTTCTTTGTTTTCAACAGACAAAAAGCCTTTAATTAGCTGATGAGTTGAAACAGGCATGGTAGAGCAGGAAAAACCAGCAAAGGGTCAAAGGAGTGGGATGGAATAATGTTTCGCTCTCACTGAGGAACATATTCAATGAAAACAGCAGTCTGACTCACTCAGCAAGTAGACACGAGATGTTTTTGCAGTTATATGTTGTGACAGAAGGTATTAACCCATGTGATCAAGTAGTGATTGGTTTTGGTAACAGTGCTAATCCACCAAGACCAGATTTTAAAATTACAGAACAAAACAATGTGCATAATGTATGTTAAGTACTTTATATTGATCTGCAGTTAACTGCTCTAGTACTGTGTGTGTGTGTTGCTGAACAATACTGTACAACTCTGCAGTGATTTTTTCAGTAGTATAAATTGTAGAGATGTGAATGTAAGTATGGAGGTGTATGCATGATGTATTTTGGTCATTTTTCTGAGAACATTTCGCAACCAAACTGCTACAGTCAGCTGCTCCGCTGAATTACATTGTCTTCCACTGAAATGTTGTAGTCATGCTTACACTCTAGATGTGGTGTGTGTGCGTGTACGAGAGAAAGAGAGATAATATGAAAATTCAAAGCAAATTTTCAAAACAGTTTCTCCCAGGTAGCGGTCTATTTTATGACTGTTCATGAAGTTATTAGATTGTGATATGTTAAAAATAGAGTTTCATGGAAAAATATGCTAAATTGGCAAAAGATAACCAGAATACATCTGGATAATTCATGCAAAAATGACAAGATGTTGAAATGCAAAATTACCACCTTGTTCACTCAAACATTCAGAATCAGTGTTTTCAATAAAATAAAAAAAATGTATGTTGTGACTTAATAATAATAATAATAATAATAATAATAAATTAGTTTTAGTTACACTTTGTGTTTTTCCTAATATTTTCCCTTATATTTCCAGTTTTCTAGTGAAAGAATGAAACACTGACACTTTTGCTTGTTGAATATACAAAGGCTTACATTTAGCAGTAGGTTCACTTTTCTGATTAGTAGAACTGTTTTCACATCATCCGGTTTAGTACTACAAGTGCAGCTCTTATGGTGCCATTATAACACCATAAACTCCACTTTTCCATTTAGCTCTCGCCATCATTATTGAATTGCAGGAGACTTGGAGAGTGAGGATCTGTCCATATTAATTACAGTGTAATTAACACTGGTATTAATGATTAAAACTATTCTTTTGGAATAGGGGATAGTAAGTTAAATGTCTACACTGGCATTTTGATTATTTAGTTACAGTTGGTTGTTTCTTTGCTAAACTAAAGGAGTCATAGTGTACTAATACTTGGAGAAATGTGTTTCTTTCTTTCAGGATCCCTCTGTCACGCAGGTGACCCACCCTGGAGTGGATCATCTTGATCAGTACAGCCCTTTCCCTGCCACTGACTCTGTAAGTTGTCAAACAAACAACTTGGAGCCAGAATAAGCAAATTGTTGGCCTAAAAACGGTTTGAATTGTAAGTAAGGTCCAGTTTTTATAACTAGATTAGGTCTAAATGGACATTCTTTGGGGACCGCAAAAGTTAACTGTATGTTGAACAAGAGGGCACATTGTAAAAGCACTTCAGGGTGTTGAATTGTCTGCTACATTTGTGATTAACCCTATCTTACCTAATGTCTTGTCAGCTGTACATTCAGAGACTTCATCTCAAGTGAACTGCTTTTATTCAATTTAATAAAATTAAATAATTTGAATGAAACAGTGTAAAGCAAAATAAATTGGTTAGATAAGCATAAGAAATATTTTCCATCCATTTAAACCTCAAAACTTCAAATCAACTTCTGCCCTGTTCCACTTCTTACAAAGTAATTAGACTGTGGTCGTGTCCTTAATGCTTGTAGTAAAATGCTACTAGAGCTTTCTGTTGCCTCTGTGGACTAATTTCTTGCTCTAAATAGTGCAAAAATTCAAACCTACTGATTGTCAGCTTTGTTAGATCATATTCTTTATACATCCGAATAAATACACCAACAACATTAAGCAATAGTCACAATAGTAAGTGGGAGGAATAGAGTAAATAAAATAGATTCTATAGATTACAAAGCAAAAGTAATTCTTTTTTTAGCCTCAGCATTAAAGGGTTAAATTCCCAGCTCTGCCTTTTCCCGTCTATGACCATGAGCACCTGAAGATAGAGTAGCAGCCTTATGGGAGGGGAACATTTTGTGCCTCTTCTTTCCCTGATGTCCATATACATTGAAGGAAGCATGTACTGTATTATTATTATTATTATTATTATTATTATTATTATTTTATAGGGGTGGGACATTCTAATCATTTGCTGGGTGATGAATGAAAACAAATGTTGAAAAAGACAATAGAATGCAGACTAACTAATAATAATGGCTGCAAAGACCAACCCAATTGGGTTGAAATGTTTAAAATAAAATACACGAAACATTGAAACCAGTGTGTGAGCATTTTATTAATTACTTTGTCATTTTATTAGTTTATTAATCTAACAGCTTGTTGTATTTGTGTGCATTTGTTAACTCTGTTTGAAGGGAGCTTTGACAGGCCCCACTATTCCAGCCTCTGCTGTTCCTTCACAGCCAGCCGTGCTGCAGCCTTCTGTGGATCCGAGCCCTCAGGTCAGCATCTCACACGCTGCAGTGCAGTGTGAATGTGTCTATGTTTGTCTAACAGGGAGAGTGCAGTTTTTATCAACAAGAAATTCTGATCTATCAGAACGCAGCTCAGTAGATGTGGCTAAAATATCAGTTTGCTGCAAGCTTGTATTACCTCTGAGTTCGTATGATGCATCAACTGAATGTATGTATTGCACCATATATGTGAGAGTTGTAGCTGAAACTCTGTGCTGGTACTGTAGGCAACTGCAGCTGCAGCCCAGGCGAACCTGCTGAAACAGCAGGAGGAGCTGGAGAGGAAAGCAGCCGAGCTGGACCGCAGGGAACAGGAGCTGCAGAATAGACAAGTGACTACAGGTACTGTACACTGTCTTCAGTTAAGAAACACTCAATATGGGAAGTATTCTAAGAGAAAAGTGAGTACTGCTATGGCGTTGTCCCATGATATGGATTTTACCAGTGGGGAACCCTGAGTGCCATCCAGGTCTTCAAAGAAGGCCTGGTGATTTCTGTGAAATAAAAAAAAAATGTCTAATTTTTTTTTTTTTTTGAAAAGAGTCATCATTCTTTCAGTATTTCAACTCTGCATGTATTACAGTAATACTGTAATTTAATTTTTAAGAATTGGTTGAAAAAAACCAAAGCGTTGAATTATTTAAATGAACCATGGAAAATTGTCTGTTCACAATTTTTTTTTTCGCTGTGGCATCTAGGTAGATCACAAGCGAGCTCTTCTATTGGTTAGGACTTCAGAGGCTAAACTGAAGGCCTGATATTTCAGAATAACCATCAGCATAATTAACCAGTCAAATTTAATTGGTAAAATATATGCTAATATGTAGGTTACAAGCTTCAAATAAAACATGGAATGCAGTTTACAAGCTTCAGATGTCTGTTTTTAATCTGGAACAGCCAAATGTTTATAAATTACTGTTAGCTTAGCACTAATATACAGCTAGAATTCCATAGGGATGCTAGTAGGTATAAGTATTGTTGTAGAGGAATGTTTTTCCCTCGGTTTTGACCAAGTTTTGATGTTTATGGCCTGAACTGAAGACCTAGTACTAGAAGTCACGATTTGCAACAGGATTTTACCATTTTGAACCCAAAACAGAAACTCTGAACAGCCCAGATTGTGTTGTGTCATTGCAGCATGTTACCCTAAAGGTGGAAGCAAAGACAGCTTTTTTACCACCTGAAAACTGTGCATGAGTTGGAATATGAAGAAACTACTAAAGTGCCTCAGTTATTATTTACTCTGCGGCAACAAATCTGTTTTAGTTGCGAACTGTCTAAACTTCTTTGCTTTTATGAGGTTAAGATGGACCCCTGATTATTAGCGTTGGAAAAATTGCATCAATTGATTAGTTTGTTTGTTTGTAGTCCATATAATGGAAAACATTATGATATAAGTATCGCTCACTCCTAATACAGACATGCAGAAATATACTAGTGCACCAGAACTGAAATTTGCAACCAACAGCAATAGATGAAGAGTGTCATCTGTTGCATCATTTAATCAAAACTGCTCTTTGCAGGCAAAGAGAACAACTGGCCCCCATTGCCCAAAAGCTTTCCCATCAAGCCTTGCTTCTACCAGGACTTCTCTGAGGAAATTCCCCAAGAGCATCAAAGGGTCTGCAAAATGATGTATTACCTGTGGATGTGTAAGTACCTAACAGTGCTGCAGACAGGCTGAAGATCATTTTGTGCAATGCAGAAATGTACTTTTTATTCTCCTGACCTGCATATTCACATTTCACTTATTCACATATTCACATTTTACTTGTTAAGTGTATATGACGAGTTCTGATATCACACATGCTGTGTTCTTCTGTGTAGAAAACTGTCTGCATTTGACAACAAAGTAATCTATTTTCTCTCTTCTTGCTCCCTCTGTTCTTTCGTCCATCTCTTCTCACTGTACTTCTTCGTACTCACACTGTTTCCCATCCTTCTCTTCTCTCTTTCTCTCTCAGTGTATTGTGTGACTCTGTTTCTCAATGTGCTGGCATGTCTGGCATTTTTCACCGCTGGCACGAATTATGGAGTGGACTTTGGCCTTTCTATTTTATGGTTCATCCTCTTCACTCCCTGCTCCTTCCTGTGCTGGTACCGACCTGTCTACAAGGCTTTCAAGTGAGTGGCACCGTTGTTTTAAGCGCACATCAAAGTGTTTGAAATTCCTGTTCATTAGTTTCAACTGTGTGTTCTGTGTTAGCAGTACATTGACTAAAACTAGCAATTTCAGAGGAAGACTACCTCTCTGATATTACCTTAAGCTAGTTCTGTCTTTAGCATGTTTTGTAGAAAACAGTAACAAATGTGTTTTATGTTCTTTTTTAGGACTGATAGCTCCTTCAGCTTCTTTTTTTTCTTTTTCATCTTCTTTGCCCAAGTGGTGGTGACTATCATTCAGACTGTTGGCATACCCAACTGGGGGAACAGGTAAGTGCGCTTATTCATTGCGTCTCTTTTCAGTTTTTCTACTTTTGGAAATTTATGGCCGGTCTGTCTGTAGCTAAAGGGGAATTTTCCAGATTTCTGTGTAGTTCAATTATTAAAATGTAAAGAGAGTCATTCAGAGTGGTGGTGGTCAGATTTCTTTACAGTTGTGGTGATAGCAACCACAGTGCAAATACTTTATTTACTACCCAAAGCCTACACGTGTGAGTGTTTATGTGTAGTGTTGCTGATGGTATAATAGTGGTACATCTGAAAAAATACCTTTTCTTTGGGGACTGTTTTTCCTCAACGCACTTGTTTACGTGTTAAAGATTGAATTATGGAAAAAACTTGATCTATCTCTGCCATTAATATATTTTAAAAATACATTTTTTCTTTCAGAGCTATCGTGAAATAATGTTTTAGGCATTGGGCAGCAAATTTGTAATCATTTCACGTAATAACTTTCTGTGATGTAGCTTTTTGGTCGTGTGATTCCCATCAGCACCACTATGAATTCTGATTGTTCTGAGTTTCTCTAGAACAGAGCATTTCACATCAGACTGCTCTAAATTACTTTGTTTACTGTAGTCTTTTTGAAAAGTCTGTGGACTTCCCCTTTAAGTGTTTTACTGTGTTTGCATGCTTGGGGGGGCAATGGTATGAGGAAATATGAACATCATGATGGGCATGAACAGTGTACAAACTCAAGATACTCAGGTGTGGTTTGGTCTGGTTTGGACCTTGAATGCAGTTTCCAGTCCTGGACTTTGTATTCAGTGGTAGTTAACTGAACTGCTGAAGCTGCACTATGTTAAGATGTGGGGATTTTGAGACCTCTGGTGGAAAAGTAACTCAGGTAGAACTCAGTCAAGTACGTGTGACATTAAAATGAAAAAACGTATCACGTGGTCCGAAAAACGTCTGCGAAATCCAAGCTGACACCACTGACTTTTTCAACTGTTGTTTTACCCTGTAAAGGAAACATATTTTAACGTGTTTTTTCCTTCTGACTCAGTAATGCAAAAACTTTCAGGTATAAATAATAAATCTTATGTAGTGCAGCTTTAATGTAACTGTGGTGGTCTAGTGTCATACCTACCAGTGACTACAAAATCCAGGAATGGATACTTGATTTAAGGGTCAGATTTGAAGCCTCTTGCCTAAAACAAACGTGTGAGTGGTGTGAACGGCCGTGCCAAGATTGGTGAGACTCTCTTTAATTCAGCTTTTAATCAGTTTGTATCAGATGCTTTTCACAGTATGTAGTCCTTTTTTCACCAAACGTGATGATGGTGACATGACATTTTTTGTAATAAACAGACCAGAAAGTTTTCATTTTTGTCCTGTGTGACCAAATCACATGATTCCGCTGACGTTTTGCAAAGCTCAGGTGCTGCATTTTGTGGCTTGCTCTTAGGAAAGGCTTCCTTAATGGAACTCTTCCAGAAAAGCTTCTGGTCATGGAGGTGGAGTCTGACAGTGGATTTTGAAGTTTGAAAACCCCACCTTAATTAAACTAAACTGTGCAGCTCTGAAACTGTGGGTTCCTCTTTGTCCCTCACCATACGTGAGGGCAGGATGCTCATGTGTCTCATTCCTGGAAAAATTTCAACTGTTTCATGCTTTTCAAGCTTTATTATCGCCCTGTTTCTGCTTAATGTTAATTTCAACTGACTACTGTAGTCATTTCTTAATCTGTGCACAAACCTCTGTCTCATTTGAGTTGACAGCTCTTTAGTTTTTATCCATGTTGATAGATGACAGAGGGATTTTACATGTGTGCAAACTTATTTATACACCAGGGAATCAGGAAATGGTCTTGGACAACAATGCAGTTCCTGGAGATCAGCAACAGTAAAAAGAAAGGTTTCGTTTTCCCCAAAGATGCAAATTTCTTTGGTTTTATTTAAAATATCTTTAGGGGTGCCCATAACTCTGCCCTGTATTTTTAAAGAATACACTATTCTTAAAATAAAACAACACTTTTGTAGGTATAATAAATGCAAAGCAGCTTCTCCAAACTTTATTTTTGATTATTTTATTGATTGTTTTTGCCCAGCTTCTTGAGGGGTGTCAGTCATTCTGGAATTGACTGGGAAACTACAAGTGGATTTTAGTTGAATAAATAATTGCAAATCCATTTTTCCGTGCTGCTCAGTGTACTTGGTTACCTTTATCTCTAGGCCGTAGTGTTGAGATGAGAAGAAACAGGTAAACAAATGTTCAGTGATGTTAAAAAGGCAAAACAATCCGTATGAAATGATGTTCATATTTTTTTACACCTATAAGCTTTTTTTCTCTGTGTCTCACCTCAGTGACGGGTGTCTTTCTGCTGTCTGTTTTCTGCTCTCACTAAGTTGCAAGCACTAACACTTCTTGGACCTTTCCTTCACTGCTTGGTGTGTGACTGAAGTAGGTCTTCCACTGCATCTCTGCTCTCTATTGCCTCGGTTTTCTGCCCTCCATGTTTCCATTTATCTTCACCTTGTTAGTCTCCCGTTTGAGGTGGTTTGTCTCGCAGGATTGATGTTGTTTACACTACTGTGTCTTTTGTTCTCAGCGGTTGGATTTCGGCCTGCACTGTGGTTCGTGAACACTTGGCTGTGGGTGTGGTAATGCTGGTAGTGGCAGTTTTCTTCACTGTGTGTGCTGTGATGTCGGTCGTCCTGCTTAAAATGGTATGTTTTTATTAATTTTTTTTTACCCCGTTTGCGGAAGATGCAGAACAAAGCTATTTATTCTGTCAGTGTTTAGTACAAAATGTCTGGTAGTCAGTAGTGGTGTAAAAATGTATCAATGCATTGTTGTGCAGCAATCTGAAGATGGCAACTGTGTGAATTTGGAATATTAGAATTATTTATAATCTGTTATAATAATATTCAAAGTATGCACTAAAGTTCTCAGGCTATTTTCAAGTGTAAAAAACTTTTTTTATTGTCTGTATTCCACCACTATGTAGTTTCTCCAGCCACATTTATGTATTCAACATACTTTCAGAAATTATTCTGAATTGTACCAAAATAACAAAACTGAATTAAATTGAATTGTTGTGACAATTGAGATTTTATAAAGCAGTGAATTTCCTAAAGAATCATAAGGTCATAGATTTACATGCTTAGTTACTGCTTAGTACTCATGGTCCTTTTTTCCCCCTTAGGTTCACGGTCACTATCGCCACACCGGTGCGAGCTTCCAAAAGGCGCAGCAGGAGTTCTCTCAGGGCGTCCTCACCAACCGCACCTTCCAAAGCGCGGCAGCCAACGCCGCTGCCTCCGCAGCCCAGAGTTCTCTCCAGAGGAATTAGACCAAGCAGAAAACGTAGAGAAACCCATCACGGTGGACCTGGGACCTCCAACTCCATCAGCCATCACGAACCCAAAGCTTAGCCAAAGCTGCTACGAGATAAATGATCTGGATCTCCTCCATCATGCTTTGGTCTTTGGATGGCAGAGGCACTATTTTTTTCACATATATTTTTATGTGAAGCTGTGGGTGTGAGGTAAATAATTATGAATGCTGTGTCTGTATAGTTGTACTTATGCTTTGTGTTTGTGTGTCTTGGCGTTTTGTGGTGTATTTTTTATTATTTTTTTTTTTTGGAATATAAACTAATTTAAGGCTGGCCCACATCAGTGAAGGTACAGGATACTTGTCCGTGTATTAAAGAATGACAATGAACAAAATTGGACTTTCCCTAAAGTGATGTCCACTCAGCTTAGTTTAGGCTTGCTTGCTTCAGCTACTGTGTGATCATGCTTTAAGCTGCATTTAGTATTCACCTACAAACAATGGACTCAAACAATGTGCCTTATGATTTCAACCTTTTCATACTGTATTCCTACAATCTGATCTTCATGCAGTGCCATAACTACAAGGGGAAAAAGAAAATGACTCTTCATTTCAATGCCATTGTATGAATTAATGAATTTTGTTACATGAAAAGCAAGATGGTCTGGCAGGTAAGGTCTGAAAGCTGTCATGAAGGGAGATTTCATGCTAAGAAACTTAAATCACGCAAGTCAGCAATGACTTGTTCTTTAACTAAAATTCATCTAAGAAATGTTGCTTCTGGCTTCCTTGATGAAGGATAATTGTTCAAAGCTGCTGTCTGTTATCTCCTGGGGAAACCACGCTGAAGGGAGACTGTGCTTGTAGATAACATATGATACAAAAAGGTTCAAATCTTGAGTCTAACTGTTGACTAACAGTGGCCTTATAGATTTGATTATTGTTCTGGAAAAACATTATGATCTAAATCAAAATTACTAGATATTTGCACCTTGTGGAAGGGAGAAATGCATAAATAAAACGTACCAGTAAACATTTATGAAATAAATCAGAATATTTTTAGTGTCATTTTATGAATACATGTATTTTATCCTTTTGGATGTTTTACTGAAAATAGTGAGCAAATTAAAGTTTTTGATTAACAGTTCTTTTGTCTAGTGTTGTAGTATTTTTATAACCAGATGCGTATTTCCTTGGGATCTCACCAGTGTATGTATTCAAGCCCACATGTATACCAAGCCACACTGCACGTTTATGTATTTAACAGAAATGCTCTGGTGAATGAACGAAACTCCTTGTAAAACTTCAGACGAATTACAAAAATGTATTGAAGCACCAATAAGGAACATGATTTCCACTTGACTTTCCACATCATTCTACAACAGCGAAAACAAAAATGTCCAAGTACAAGCAGTATGAACCATAAACCGCTAACATAAAAGCCTGTAAAACAAGACAAAATTAAAACGGCAGTTTTCATAAAACCAGCTGCTTACTTATGACATCATTGTTACATAAAATAGTTTCATATTTCACATCAGCATCAGCAATCCCTTTTTTTAATCCATAGAAAAAGTGCAAATGAACTCTTGACTGTGCCCCCTCCATTCCAATGGCTCAGCACATGTTGCTCCCCCTCCCCCACCCAACATTGTAGACACATTTACAAACATTGACTTTATTAATTAGCAGAACTTCTTACAGTCACATTAACATTCATTTGTACGAGATACTGTACATGTAAATGCATCCAGCAAGGCAGAGTTCATTATATCTTCTTTCTTTCTTTGGGAGGAGTGGTGGAACAACGAATTGAGAAAAAAGAACATATTAAACCTTGCGAATCGTAATTTACATACATAATGTTTACAAAGCAAAGTAAATTTCCTCTTATAAAAAACAAACATAAGCATTTATATAAAAAGTGTCTTTTTTGGAAGTGTAGAAAGGTCAAAATCTTTTCCTTTTTAAAAGTTCAAAGAATCACTTTCCTGGGAGCCCCTTCAAATGGACAGGGGAAAACCATGGACACCTTCACTCCTGTTTGTGGTGCCTCCACCTCACACAGATGAAAAACACGACTGTTGCGCTGATCTGACAGCCTAACTGTGAGCTCATGAGGTATTAAAGGTGATGCTCTCACCAAGACCGGACCAGAGGTCCTATCAAAAAGTCTTAGGTCTCCATATCATCAGCACCACATGAACTACAGCATTGTTGACTTGCTGATGTTACACTGCAGCTGGATTGTTTTCCTTTTTTAATAAAAATAGCATTTTCAGGATCCACAGTTGTTTCCTTCAATGTCTGAATCCTATATGTACTCGCCTGTAGTGTCCGTTATGATGCATATTCAGAGTTCTATGCTACAGGTTTCCCTGGGAAAGAACACAGAGCAATGTGTAAGGGGGGAAGAAAAAAAGAAAGGAAAAAAAACTCATCTCGTCTCTGTAGACCAAGGATACTGAACATATTCATTCTTCAATGCTGAAGGTTGTTCCTTTTACATATATAAAGAAATGTAAGTGGAGCAACAGCTACTTTAAATGGCGTCATTATAAATACACCCACACATTCCCAATGGTATGTATGAATTTAAAAATGAATACATAAAATGATCATTATGCATAATGTGTGTATGTACACATACAAAATAAAAAATAAAACAATTATCAATATTCATTTGAAGTCCAAAACATTAAAAATGTCCAGAATACTTCCTTAGAAATAACAAAATGGTGTTCGCTGGAGTGCTTTTCTTGGAAATCTTTTAATTTTTCCCATCCGTCCATGCAAAATGGAGAAACAAAAATCTGAAGCTCATCCCCTGGTCAGTCACTGAGAAAGGATAAGTGATCAGTGATCAAAAAACAGCTGGGCCCTTCCTCAGAACAGGCCAGGCTCAAGTCCAGGGTTAGCTCCCTAGAGCGGGTTTAGTGCTGTCAGGCTGTTGTGATGGCGTTCAGGTCCTTCATCAAACCCTCCAGGTGAGCCATCTCCTCCGACAGCTCATCTGTCTCATACGCCTTAGAGAGAGCCATGCAGGGGAAGCCAGGTTAGAGTTACAGCCACAGCCACACAGAGAGGAGGATGCAGGATGAGAGAGAAAAGAAAAGAAGAAGGAAAGAAAAAGAAAAGAGGGGATGGGATGATGTAAAAGAGGGAGACAGAGCAGGAGATGAAATGTGTTGGTAGATGAGTTGATATGGAGGTAGATATGTGACCAAACAGAGCAAACAAATCCTGAAAATGTTTGAAACACAGCATCAATGAGACTGAAGTGAGAAAGAGAAGAATAAAGCAGAAAACACAGGTTTTGGTTGAGCATTTGGAGTATTAATATGATTTGTCAGGAAAACATTTTGTTTAGTTAGTCATTATTCACATTAGTTAGATTCAGCAAGTGTAAACAGTTTGAATTAAGCCAGGCAGCAAGTTGAAGTATTAAAGTAAAGAAGGAGGAGAAAAGAGAGAAAGAAAGCAGTTCAAAAACGGTTTCAACACTTTCAGAACAGTGAAGTGTTCAGAGGACGTGTGGAGGAAAGATTAAGCTCACTGTCTCTTTCTGCGGAAGCATCTTGCTGTTTTCTGCTTGATCAGGAGCGCTGGGTACCGTCACTGCCACCGGCGCCCGAACTCGACTCAGAGTGCCTATAGACGCCGTCTTCACGCCAGGAACTGAAACCAAATTAAAGAGAGATTTCACTGAAAGAGGCCAATAACCTGAGGTCCTGATATCCACTTTCTGCCAATGTATTTGGTGCATCAGTAGGAAAATAAGCCCTATTCACACTATATATATATATATATATATAATATAATATAAAGTGAGGGCAAAAACGCCTCCTATTAAAAGCTAAATAAATAATTATTCCTTTGTAGGATCTGTATGCAGAGATATGCAGGTATGGGTTTAGTGCCTTTGCGGACACTGTAGATGCTTGCATCTGACTGTTCGGTGACACTGAGATGAGTAATTCATGTAAAGATTGCTTCTTGATTGAAAAAAACTTCTTCATTTTCTGAATCTGTCACAAGATCAGTGTATCCTGCCCAATAGCACCATGGGAACAGCTATTCAACAGCACATAAAAGTGCAAAATCTACAATGAAAACATCAACTATTGAGGTACGGCAGATGGACTGGACTGGTACTGAAACCTGTAAAAAAATGGAGCAGTATATTCTGCAAGCTCTGCAGGACAAGATCATTTGTGAATAAGTACATGGTCCTGTGATTGTTGAGTTTTACATAGATCAGCAAATACTGTATAGAGTAACTAGTCCAAAAAATGCTTTTCCAAGTGTTTATGATGACTACATGACTGTCACATGCTGAGCACTGTTTCCCAAAAATGCTAGAAACAAAAGGTCAGAATTAGCCATGAAAATCAAATTAGCCCAATTTATAACACTGCATAAGAACAATTCACACGTCTACTTGACCAGTTAAGGAATATCACACACTAAACTGTAAACACTGCAAATCCTAAGCCTGGCTGTGCAGACCAGAGATACAGACAGAGCGTCTGAGAGAGAGAGGAAGGTGGGTTGTGGTGTGCAGGCTGACCTGGCTGGGCTAGCAGGGGGGTGCAGGGCAGGGCAGAGCTGGGTGGGTTATGAGCTGAGACAGATACAGTGGGTACAGCAAAGCTCTTCATGGGGTGTGTGGGGTGAACGTGGGCCGTGGGGGGCTTGTACGAGGGCGGATCCTCCTCTTTAATCACCACCTCTGTATGCTGCAGCTCTGCTGCACTGGATGGCTGAGTCGGGACGACCGGAGGCTCAGGGGCAGGAGCCTGCGTCCTTACAGATTCTAAGGAGAACAACATCAAACCAACACAAAGATTTACAATACAGTCATCATACTACAACACTGCAAATACTGACCAACAGTGGTTATGACTAACAAGAACACATACCAACACATACACATGAAACTGGAGAAATGAGAACGTGTATGAGAATGTGATGAATTCTGAATATGAGTGGGAGCAAAAACATTCTGAATCTGTTTAATATGAAATCCATAATGCACAAAATCAATCATAATATGCCTGTCAGTGCACCACTAGTATTATACTTACTCAGCCTTTGACTGGGCAACCAATAAATCATGCCAGAGCTTTAATTAGGCCTAAAATTTTGGCCCAACACAGCCTTTGTAACTGAACCAAGTCTGACAACACGACTGTCTGAACACGACTGGAACTGGCTGAACTACTCGCACTGGCACATACATGCGGGTTACTGGAGAAAGGTGCGTTAAGGCTGCTCTACCAATGCGAGTGACTCTAGTGTGCCAGATTTAAAATTGCTTAAAGGTAATCTATGTTAGAACTAAGAACACAGAGAAAACTAAAGCAAGGGTAAATCTGATATGAACACTCAGAGCAGTGGAAAAATTCAGAAATCAAGCAGGTGCAGCTTCATTTCTAGCAGAATTTTATTGATTTTAACATGAAATTCTGGTGCTCTCTAAAACTAAAACTGTAAACACGTTTAACTGCTGTTCAACAAGTATGAAACTACACATGTCCAAATGTTGTGCTGTTTTCTAGATATTTTGATTTGTTAAGAATCTGTTGCTTACCATACCAAGGTCAAAAAGTCAGGCATCTCTTTTTTGAGACCCTACATCTATTATAAAGGTCATACTAAAAACTTTGACCTTCACTTTGCTTCTGTTGGCTCCATTAGAGATGTTGTGCTTGGACCCCGATGATCACCACTTACAATGCAATTTGCTGATTGCCGTTTAGCTTTCGTAGTGTTTACAGTGTGTTCTACATGCATTTCAAACACAAACTAAATGGAAGCTGGCAGTCTTGGTTGCTCACAATGATAACATTGACATCTTTTTTTTTTTTTGTATTTAAAGAAATTCAACATAAAAATGAAACCAATTTCATTGCTCATGAAATGTGGCTCTCTTTTCACTTTTAGGCAACAATATGAGTTCTAGCTGGTCAATAAAAATGAAATATATCTGTAGGTTTGCTCCATAATAACTGTGAACTGTTGCTGTGCTGTATTTGGGTGAGAGGAGAGATTCTCGCTCAGAATTCTTTGCTAGACCCTCTAAAAATAAAACTCCAACGCTCATCTAATCTACACAGTTCAAGTGAATAGCATGTTTATGTTTAAAAATGGCAAATGATGAGTTAACATGTATGGTAAATGCAGGCCAAAATTCATTAAAGTAACCATGAAATCTGAACCTGATAAATATTTGAGAAATTTCTCCCCAAGATGTCTAATCCAGATCGATACAGCTGGGTTCCGTCAGTTTTGGACAAATATTTTAAGCTTTAAATCACGTCACAATTCTCACCTGAAGAAGGAGCCCTGTCTAAATAAGGGCCAGGAGTGGAGGGAGTAGCAGGAGCCCTCAGACTGATCTGATGATGGAGGTAACCACGAGGTGGAGGGTGATAATGATGGTGATGGTGATGATGAAGATAGTCAACAGAATGGATGGGATGGGCACTAATAATAGCTGAGAATGCGCAGACAAATGATGAGTGTCAACAACACAGACAGACTTAATCACAGAAGAACACAGACAAACTGTATCAGAGCAACGACACACATCTCACACAGGTTTGTTGAAAGAATGAGGGGAAAAAAAAACTGACAAGACAGGCAATTTCCTTTGGGCAAAAGCTGTATTTTGTAAAACAATTTCCAGATGCAAATGTTTTCCAACCACAGCAAAGTAATATAAAAAAGCACTAGCGACATTCTTCCAGAATTCAGAGATATATTTAAAAGGCTCAGGTTTGAAGAAATGTGGATGATGTGGGCTTACGTTGTGGGGGTTGCGAGTCGAAGGGCATCATTATTTTGGGCCTCACTCCTTTTCTGCCTGCCAGCGTTGACACACTCTCCTCAATCTCATGACCTTCAAATACAAACACATTACAACACTCACTCTCTGTCAAGAAGCTTGTGTTGGCAGTTACACTGTTCTTACCCCGGAATGAGTTGCGTCTCTGGTGGCCAGACTCACCGGATGGGTCCTGACTGCGGGGAATGGGAGTCTCCGTCATGACCGGGTTGGGCTCAGGGGATTTGTCTATGGGCTTCATCTCCAGACGCTCGTGGTGGATCCACAGGTCAGGGGGCTTCAGGTCTTTAGAGGTGCTTTTGTACTTATGGGATCCGTTATTGGACTTACAGGCAGCTCGTTTCCTAAAAGCAGGAATAGATGGCTGCTTACAGGAACATCTAAGACTTACGATCTTTACCTATTTAGATAGTGGATTAATGAAATGTCTAAAAAATGTCTCTGATTCATACACTAACTTTACAGGAGAAGACAAAAACATTCTGATCTTTTAATGTAAGTGAATGTAAAAAGTCATTTTTTGATGATCGTTGGTCCAATCATTATGAAGTTTTCATACAATGTAAAAGGCAGTTGCTGTCTTCAGTACTTACAGTGATAATTTACAGTAACAGGGCATCTACAAGTTTATGCAAATTAAAGACTTTTTAAAGACCTTTTTAATACCAGTTGTAGTGCAATTAATGCAATTTGATCACAAAACACCACTAGTAAGATTCATTCACATACTCATTTACTTTTTCACTAAGTAGCAAACTGAATTTGTACTTTCCTTTATTTTCAAAACATGCCTTTTAGATCTAGGCCTCCAGTCTGGGCCATAAATGTCAAAACCCATCTTTACAATAATACTAATTTCTTCTAGCATCCCTATGTGATTTTAGTAGTATGTTAGTGTGTTTTGGCCATTCTAGATTAAACATGGACATTTGAAGCTTGTTAAAGATGTTCCATGTTTTATGCGAAGCATGCAACAGGCACATTGGCATATCAGTTACCTTGTATATAGCAGTTTTACAGTTACTCTTTTGTAAGACGTCCTGGCTTAGAGCTGCTGCTGTTTTCCATTTCTGACAATTGACCGAAACCTGGTTACACTACAGCTCATATGGCAGTCAGTGTCTTATCTAGAACTTCAAGAAGGCCTACAGTAAATCAAAATGTGATTCCATGGTCACCTCCTAATCATGTTAGTGGTTAATCTGACACATTAGGCCTTCATTTCTTCTGAAGTGCCAACCAATGGGAGAGCTCATTTAGCTGTACCTACCAAGATACCACAGAACAAAAAATAATCCTCACTGGACAATTTTCGTTGATTCAAGAATTGAACCTTTTTGTGTCAAACCAAAAAACTTAACAGTGAAATAAGACAGTGTCATTAAGTGTAATGATACCATCAAGTCAAAATGAATGAAACATGATATATGTGATTTTATTTTTCAAAGAAATCATTTTATGAGGGCCTAGGAGGCCTTAAGGATTCCCCACGGTGTATTCATATTAACACCATTTGTTACGCAGTCAGTATAACAATGGTGGAATATGGGCAACCTTTTTAAAAGCCTCTATAAGCAGCATAATTCGCAGTTAAAAAGACAACACTATTTTTTTCCAATGTGACAAACTATATTCAGTGCAACTGTTACATATTTAAGACTTTGGGGAAGAAAATGTAAAACTGAAAGACTTTTTCGACCTTAATTTCATTTGGTTAAATTTGAGACTTTTTAAGGACCTGCAGATACACTGCCCTGAGTAAGGAGACACAGTAGGGCAGGTTTGCATGTTTGCATGGGAGAGTGTCAAAAAGCTCACTTTTTCTGATGGGAGTTGGAGCGTCGTGTACAGAGAAATGCCCCCACCACCACAGCGATGATGGTGAACACTCCCACAGAAACGATAATGACTATCACCAGAATGTGATTCTCCTGACTGCCTGTGATTCCTGGCTTATCTGAGAGACAAAGACAGAGTGAGAGTGAGTGAAAGAAAAACGAGCCGAGGTGTACAAAGCATTATTCACACGTGACAGAGTACATATTTACCGAGGGTGGATCCGAATCCGTGATCAGGCAGAGGAGAGCGTCCCCCAGGCGTACCATGGAAGCCTACTGACAACAAGGATAAAGCATTAGGTACAAACTGTCTGAGCAGGTACTTGTAAGGGCAAGAAGAAAACGAGACAAAGACAAAACGAGGCTTCACAGAGGGACGCAAGAAGCAAAAAGAAAGAATAAACAAAAGAAAGGTAGAAAAAAAGAACAGTTACCTTGATCACTTGACATTTTGTCAGAGGGTTCAGCTGAAGGAAGCAAACCAGAGACAAAACCAGAGAGAGAAAGAGGGAAAGAGAAGAAATAGAGTGAGTAGGGGTAATGGAGGCGGAGGTAAAGGAATATTTACATTCAAAGAGCTTTTCTGAGTCAGTGCTTATGATGCCAGTATCAGTGGGATGCTCATTACACCTGCTGTGAAATGTTCCACGATTTTTTTACTCAGAGATGAGCAATAAAGTGGTCTCAGGGTGGTGCTGTAATCAGCTAAATTACCTTTGGGTGTGCGGAACTGCACGGTGTCAGAGAGTGGTCCCATGCCTTTAGAGTTGCGGGCCTGTATCTTAAAGTAGTAAGTTGTGTCTAGAGTGAGCTCCTGGATCTGGTGTGTCAGTCTGTTCCCCATCACTGGCTCTACAACCCAGTCATGTACCTCTGCATTCACATCCGTACTGTAGTAGATGATGTAGCCTGCAGGCAGGGAGAGACAACAGTACTTTAACACAGAGACACGGCCTGACTCCAGAGTGGTTCTGGCCCACCCAATGATAAGCTTTGCCCACCCTAGCCGACTGTCAGAACAATTCAGACTGCAATATATTTCAAAAACTCCCCTGGGAAGCTCTGAGAATTTTTTAAATAAGAGGCTTTTGTTCTTGGTTTTAATCAAAGCACTGTATCATAAAATTAGCGGGTGGGCAGGGGGAAAGTTACAGTCAATGACAAGGCCTTAATTAAATAAAACAGTGTTGTAAAATATTTGTGAGCCCTTTGAAATTATCTGAAATTCTACATGAATGGCTCACAAAATCATCTTTATCTTTATCTAGAGTCTTATTTAACAGATGGTCCACACAACTCCCATTTTTTATCTTCAGTGCCAGATTGTGCTGTATAATATGCTTTATGTCAATTTGTATCAATTTCTGATACAACAGGTTTTTGAAAAGAATAAAGTCATCTTATTGGATGAAGCTCAGATCACATCTTTGGAGAAATTCATCTAGAAATCTATGTACTTCCAATCTTACTTTAGACATACTTCAGAAAAAATAACAAACAAGAACAAGAACATTTTAAAAATGTTTGAACATTACAAAATGCTACTCATCTGAATGACAGCTTGTTCATCCAAATGTCAGTTTAAGTCATTGCAGTTGCATTACAGAATGATAGACTTGACTTTAATAAACTGCTCAGTCCCCAAAGTATATACTTTACAAACAAAGGTTACCGAACCACTGTGGCCAGTGAGTCTGACCCATCTACTCAGGAGCTTTTCACACTGTAGCCAACAGTCATACAGCAATTTAGACTGTAATACATATAATAGAAAAAGTCAACTCTCCTGTTCAGGCCTGTGAATTATTAAAATCAGAGGCTTTATTAAAAAGCAAAGGCCAGATTTGGACAGTCAGCTCCATGGTCTTACAGCATTAGTTACCTGTGATTTTGCCATTGGCCTCAGTTGGTGGCTGCCAATTGATGTTGATGGTGCGGGGACGGCCCTCTTTACTGACCACAGTGACATCTTTGGGAGCGGAGGTGGGAACTGGAGAGACAGATATGTATCACTACACAGTCCAGCTGCAGCCTCTTTCAGCCTTTTTCAGCCTTTCAGCCAGTGTTTATACTGTTAATATGGATGTCCATATTGTGCTTTTACACAAGATAACGGGGAATTTCCGTTATGGGAATCTCTTGATTTTTCCACAGTGAAATGCTGGTAGGTACAGTCGGATGCCAAAGTTTCAAATCACATTTTGTTGACTTTCTAAGTGAAAACATTAGCACATCCCCCACAGCAGCTCAAGCTGGTCCCTCAGGGATCCCCAGACAGCCCACATATTTGCTCAGTCCCAACACACAGAGATCACAAAGAGAGCACAAATATTGATTGTCTAGGGGCCCCTGATGACCACTGTGAGAACCACTGCTCTACAGAGAACAAATTTAAATACTGCAAAATAAAACATCAAATGTCATAGTCAGAGTATAATAACTTTTGCACAGGCCACAATTTATGTTTTTTTTTCTCAATAGAGAAGAGAGAGAGAGAGAGAAAGTGCCATAAGAATTGTTGCCTGTACTGGTTGTGAGTCATAAGGCGAGGTTCTTACGAGTCTCGAAGGTGGTGCCGTGAGCAGTCATACTCCAGGTGCTGCTGCGTCGGCCTTTGGTGACCATAACGGAGAACTCGTACAGTGTGTTGGGCTTAAGGTTCGTCACTGTGTGTGTCAGAGTGGTGGTGTTTGCAACCTGAAAACACAACAACCACATTAGAATATAACTTCCAAATATTCTTAGACCTGTTTAGATATTTGCATAAAGGAAGTGTTAGATTGCCTGCATGTATTATCACTAACATAATTCCAAAAACCAAAAGCTCAACAATAGTGAGAATTTTTTTTCTTGCCATTTAAATGCAATGTCAACACTTGCCCACTTGGAGGCAGTGTAAGTATTTCTTAGAGACACTGGCTTAAACATAGCAGTAAAAAGAAGTAAGGGCAGAACAGAAGTGCCAAAGGGAACCCAAAGGGAAATCCAAAATCGATTTAATTGACTTTGAGAGAGTTTTAATGAATTTTAAAGGGCATTTCCAACATGCACATTCCACAGAGTGCTCTCTTTTATGTGTGCATGTGCGGCAGCACCTTGTACTTGGTGTTGGCTGGTATGTTGGTCTTCCAGCGGACAGTGTAGAACCTAGAGTCCGTGATCTTCTGGTTCTTGGCCAAGGAGTTGTCAGCCCAGGATACTTTAATGGTATCGTGGCTGATGACGGAGGCCTGCACGCCCACGGGAGGGAGCATGGGGGAGGGATCGGGCGCTGGGGTGTGGGGGGTATGATGGAAGAGTTCAAACAAATCAATATCTGGATCTATGGGATCTGCCAGCAGTCAACACGGTGTCAGGTGATTCAAGCACAAAGCATGAAACAAGCAATGGATCCAAAAAAAAAAAAAAATCATCAGTAACACAGAAATGAGGGAGGAAGGGGGGTCATGAGGATAAAGCGATTGATGTGTTTAAATGCAGGAGGGGTAAGAGGGAAAGGAGTGATGAGAAATTGGGAGGGCAAAGAGAAAGAGAGATACTATTAGAACAGAAAATCAATAGACTAACATACATACATACAGTTTCAGTATCTTGAAAGAGCAGAATTGTGAAGGAGCATAAAACATTCACAACCAAATACAGGATTTGAACAGTGAAAGACAGCTGAGGAATCTCTGGAACAACAATGATGTGCTCATCTGTCTTTCGCTAAATCCCAAAATAACCCCTACTTTAAACGAACAGTGAATTATAGAGAACTACGCTGGCCAGGGTTTGACCGATATAAACATTACATGAACAATTTTACCGCGCTATAACTTAGTATCAGCCGAAATTTATGAGGTCAAAAATCCTACAGTTCTAGCAGTGCTTTACTGACTGATATGGTTGTCAGTGACTGCCAAATCAGCAATCTGACTGACATAAGGGGGTGAAATCCTCAGTCAAATGAGTGATTCTCCTCATGTTAGAGGTGCATATTCAACTTAAAAATATCTGTTTTATCAGTGGAATTTTCACTCACACCAATAAAGACATGAGACCTTAATATAGGTCACCATACATTTTGGTCGGGCCTTATTATGCATCAAATGTTGCAGCCTTTGCATCATACAGGGAATTCTAAAATATCCAGCTACAGTACAGGGGACCTCGTATGACACTCTTTCATCTGGTCTTTTAAGAAATAGGTTGCAAACAGATTCACAAATTTGGTAATATCCAAAAAAGTATTTACACTTGTATATACTCCTTTCGCACCAGCTAACTCTTTATTTCTAGGTCATGGTTATCTGATGCGCTATTCTCTCACATCTCTGTCAGGCCTGCATGTCTAAACAGCGCGCATCTCCAGCTGTAGCAGGACTGATGTTTGCCCCAAAGACTTTACAAATGTTTGAGGCGAACTGAAGTTAGCCGTGACAGGCCGGCAGGGGGTCCTGGAAGCGTTGCCCCCCCCCGCCGCCACCGCCCGCTGGCTGCCTCTTTCCTGCTCAGCTTTACAGCATGCTGAAAGAGAGACACGAACGAGGGTGCCTTGGCAATGGTGGGGATAGCCTTCTAACATGCTCTTCAAACCCACTGACACTTACAGACCAAACTAATTCCCCATGTCCCCCGAGCTGTAGGGGGCACTCCACTCTGGAGCGCTCAGCACTGAGCACATCCAGAGAAAGAAAACGAACACAGACTACATTTCCAACATGAACAAGACCCGCATGTACTTCAGCAAAATGAGACATTCACTCAGACCGTCTTTGTTCAGTGTCTGTGTCTCTGTAATCAAATTTACTGTGACACATTAGAGAATGTGGGGTTTGGGGTTTTGAGTGTGTGACATACATGCTAAAGCATTCAGACATACACTACACCATAAGACAGCTGCACTTGTCTCAGGTTTGCTTAGATTCTAATAAAAATATAAAGATACGCCACATGTGTCTACCAAAGCCGATCCTACCCCTGAGATATGCTATCACCTCAGATAGTCAGTCTACACAATAAAAACGTACAACACATGAATTTTCTCAGCTTTAATAAAACAAAGAGCATTGTGAAGGCTTTGTGACACACACTGGGAAACCATGTTGTCATGTAAGCTACCTTGGGGAAAGAAGCCCCCCAGGATAAAATGCCTCCCAAACCTTTTTTTCTCTCCAGATCAAATGATAGGGACCAAATATTATTTGAACAATTAATTCAGAAATGTCTAGAAAATTTTCGTTAGAACTTTAGTTTAAAACAGATGACCATGGGGGAGCTGTGCAGAGAGCAATATATTTTTTGAGAGGAAAAAAAAACTTGGACCTTTTGGGGCCCCAGACACAGGACAGAAGGCCCACCTTCACAGTACTGCCATGGAAATATTATTTAGTTAGATTTTCATGCGAAAGACAAACTTGTTAACTAGAGTTTGTGTGACTTGCTGGCATTAGCAGTACATGCCAGCTATAGCAACTGTTAGAGAGAACTAGGCAACGTTAAATTAATTTACATAATGTCATTATGTACTTAATATAATCATAATCATTTTTAATTAACAAAATTTACATTGCAAGTGTTTCTATTTTACTCCAATTTGTCTTTTGACATAGCTTATTAAAATTAAGCGTAATCATTCAGACATGCCTTGTTCAAGGCCTCAACTTCTTTTTAAAATATATTTTAATGTTATATGTTGATTAATAGCACAATTCTTCAAAAATGATTCGACAGACAAATTATAAGTTCTATCAAAGATGACAAACCAATGCAAGATTCACTGGGTGGCTTCTTACCCAAAGTGGGGGAGCATTTTGCCTCAGATAAGCCTCAAATTCCCTTCACAAGATTTTCTTTTTTTGTTCTATTTACTGTCTTTGCTATCTACCTGTCCAGTTTATATCACCCAAGCCTGGTTTGGTCTATGCTTCATGCGCAGATACTGTTTAGCTTTACAGTAAATGGACACAGTCCTTAAGGGGGGCATTTGCCTCATTTTCCACACCCGTACTTCACAGTAAATCTGATTCAGCAGAACAAACTTGTGAATTATTTATGTGTAATAACTGATCTGTGTGTTAATGTCTGTGTGTGAATGTGTGTGTATGTGTGTGTTTACCTGACTGGGGCCTGGTGATGGCACTTTCATACACAGGTATTCCCTCACCCATGTTGTTGAAAGCCTTCAGAGTGATCACGTAGTGCGAGCTGGGTTCTAGAGAGGGAGACAGCAGTAAATATCACATTCCTCCCCAACACACTCCCACGTTCTTTCATCCAGCCCCTCTGATGCTCACCCACTCTCAACTTGAGAGGGGATCATCTGACTCCAAATGTTTGTTTTGGCGGTGGAATCTGAAAGGTTACAGATGCGAAACCAAGGTGAAACATGCAAAAGAAGGGGAGAAAATGCCTACCCAAGTTGTCGATGCTGTAGTAGCGCTGTTTGTAGTCCACTTTGACGGTTTGCGCGTGAGGGTTGCCTATGCCGTAGCCGATGCTGTAGCCCCTCACCACGATGTCCTGGTTCTCCGGAGGAGTCCAGCTCACTACAATGCTGTTTACCAGGGGCCGCACATGCAGAGAACTGGGCGCTCCAGGTACCTGAGACTCTAAAACATGCATACACAAACACACTTATTTTAGTAAAAAGGGTTGAACAATATTTATCTTTTAGATATGATTTTTAAAACTCAAATAGACTACACTGCCTATTTAGATAGAAAAGTGAACTCATTTAAATGTATTCTATAAACCTCATCTAGCTCCTTAAAAAACCTGCCTTCTATAATTTGGCCAAAGGGCAGCCAAATTCTAGTCATCTGCAGCATGTCTGACAGAGAAAAACAAACTTTCACTGTGCAAGAATGAACTTTTTCCATTGTAATGAATCTCATGTTTGTGCGTTCCTTGCATCTCAAACTCTCACGTTTGCACTTTCCACAAGCATACCAATAATACTTGGCTGTATGTGAGTCTGACTTGTGGATGGCCTCTCTTTCACACTGAGGAAACAGTGTAAAACATTAAATGTCTGTATAATACTAAAACTGGGTGTTATATTAAACATCCAACAAAGTTCAAAAGAAAAAAAAAAGACAGAAATACAATAAAACACTGTTTAAAACTACTAATCACATCTATTTGAGAACAGTCTGGGCATGGCTTATTATTCAATTGAGCACACATGATTGACCTCTCTCAGTACAGTTCTCCCAGATGTAGTGGGAAGATGTGAAACAGGCTCTACATGTGCAGATAGTGATGCTGACTAAATCACTTCATGGTTCACCAACATTAGTCAGCTTTTACAGTCGTACGCAAGAGCTTAAACATCCTGGTCAAATTACACGCTTTGTTGATTTCCTAAGTGAAAATAAGTTAACACATCCTCTACAGAGAATTTAAATATAACATTTTTCTGCAAACTTTAGAGCACAATTTACAACTATTTGTGAGTTTTATGTAAGTTTAAAACATTGGGAAAAAAACTAAAAATATAAAATGTTCCATAACTTCTGCAAAGGCCACATAGGATGCTTTACTTTTTTCGCCAGTTGTAGTGGGAAGTTAAAATTTGTTCAATTTATTATAGACCCAGTTAGGAAGACCGACCCTTACTTGAGCTCAAGGGGATGTCAAGACAAAGAACCCAGAGAGTCAATGCACTTTCTCCAACTCCCTAGTTTTTTAAAAACACACAGAGATATTTATACAGCAGTTATCACGCAACTCTCCACACCCTCCCCTGCCCTCTCCTTTTCCTGTTATTCAGACAACCTAAGCCCCTCTGCATCCTATATTCATTTTCCTGCATGAGGCGAGGATGCAACATGATTTGTTAACATATTTCTTCTTTAAAAAAATCAACAAAACATGTCATTTGACCAGAGGCGCCCATATTACGTATGACTGTTTATAGCGATTAAAGAAAGCAAGGTTTCTTTTCACTTTGCTCTTGGTTGTGCATTCACACAACCTCACATACACAGAACGTCAGCATGGCCAGATGGACAGTGAGCCAATGACAGACAGATGAGGTAGCCTGCTGGCTCATTTATGCTGTCTAGCTTAGTTATTGCTCTCTAAGTTGCTCAGACTGGAAGAGAATGAAATCTTGGGGGGGGGCAGAGTTTGATGAAGCTGTGTTGCCAAGAAAGCCTTGTGACTAGTGGGGTTAATGATTAGGACTACCCAGTTTACGCCGAAAAGCGAGAAATTTGGCAAAATGTATCAACCATTTAATGGACAATAGAATGTTATTCATAGTGTATGCGCTGTATGTGTATACAGTTTGCCTACAAAAACAAGATTAACCTAATTAGAAAGAAAAACATAGATTTACAGTGACTGGGGTTTTAAACATGCACGCATAATGAAGTGGCAAAGTTGCAGACCACCGTCTCTGTACAAAAAAACACACTGGTCAGGAATTTTGACATGGCAATAATATTGTCAAATCGCCCAAGCCTATTAGTGAGTGCCTCTGTTGCACGCTTCCTTTCCAGCAGCTCCTCCTGCTATTCCCCTGAGGACGGAGTGAAAACAAGATGGCATCTTCTCCACTCAGTCTCCAGCTCCAGCAGTCTGTCAGCAGATCAGCTCTAATAAAAGGAGAGAAGCCAAGCGCAGTCTCCTCTCTGGCCTCGTGGAGCTGGGCTCATTTCTTCTATCAGTGGGGTTTCCTAAACCTGGCGCACAGGGACGACTCTCCTATAACCACTATCACCTCGGGGGCAGGAAGAGATGCAACTTCAAAGCGAAGAGGTAAAATAAATGGAGGAGCATTTATATGTATTACAGGAGCATGGGTGCAGAGCACGTTTCAGAAACCTACAGCTTTGAAAATTAATTCATAATCGCACCGTTTGCAAGGAAAATGGCATAAGTGTGGGGAAATGCCTCAATTTATTTTTGGTACAACTTAAAAGAAAGGCTTACATTACACGGACATTTCTGCGCTGTATCACTGAAGCTGCAGAAATTCACTCCAGTCCATCTTAAGAACTTCACACATGCATTTTACAATATACACAGCCTGGCATATCACTGCCTTCAAAACCTCCCGGATTTGGAACCATTAAATTGGTTAATTGTTTCAAAGGCCATCATATTCGCACAGCTAATTCAAGTAACACTTTGCTGTCCCATTTCAACAGCTACAAACAAGCTTATGAGGGTTATAAATACAGAGAGAACGGCTCAATCAACACAAACACACTGGCCGGTTCATCCCGGATGTCTTGTCTTATTATGAGTGGAAAAAACGCCCAGTTATTAATCCAACTTAGCTGTTCTAATCGGCTGAAACGCTTATTATTATTTATCCTCCCTACTTCAGTTTGTCTCTGAATTGATGTCTTATGAGAAGCATGAATAAGAAAGTGGGGATAAGGAACAAAACCCTCTCTTTGAACAGCCAGCTGAAATCTTCCAGCTACAATGACAAACAACCACCATGACAGCCTCAATTCCACCAGTTCTCATTTCTGCAATGATATCTGATCCAATGCAATTTCACTCTGAACATGGTTAAAAGGAATCTGAACTTTAAAACCAACAAACCATTACAATGACAGCACTTTGTCTCAATTTCTTTCAATTCTGCTTTTGTGATTATAGGACTTGTTACACTGAAATGGCAGTCTTGTATTTTTAATGACTCTTCCCATAAAGAGGACAGCTAAAGCTCATTTGGCCTGCACCATGAAATGAAGCATAGACATTGAAATGGTGTGCATTTGAGACAGACTTTTGAGACAGAGGCTCAATTTAGATTATATGCATAATGCAGCTAACTTGTCAACTTACTGAAAGATAAAGTAATAAATAAATGCATTTTAACTCTCATCTGAATATCTACCTCTCCACACTGTAGCAGTCCTTGCCAAAGGCCACAGTGTGGGCTCATAGAGGGCACATAGACAGAGCTAGTGAGCAGCCCCCTGATCGCCAAAATGAGAAATGGGACACCCTTCAACCTGGTTGTCCGCACACGCAGAGGTGAACTGCAGGACAGTACACGTACCATTTGAGATGGGGCTTAAGTCATTTGGAGAAGAAACAGCCATAAACCTCAGCAGCATCCAACGAACGCACACGTTTGAGTAATAATTTTTTAAATGAGAGATAAAAAGTTCATTACTAAAAGATACAGAGTTAGTCAGTATTATGTATGTGATTTCCATTAAAGAATTTAATTAACTATTTCTCATTTTCATTACTATTCAGATGTTAAGTTAGATTTTGACATTTCACTGTAGACCTATTTAGTCTTTTGCTTTATTCAGCCAAAGTGTGTTTTTGATGGGCGAAATTTCAGCGGACTTTTCATTTACCATAACAAATTGCAGAAATCTGTACAGTGTGCTGTGTAGGCATGTTGCCCAGGTTCAGCTCATCCTGATGCATGCTATATGAGCTTTCTGGCAAATCACAAGCACAGCACAAAGTGTGCAGAACCTTCACCCATGCCCCATAAAAGCATCGAGCCTTTCCCATGTGATTTGTCAGCGCAATTCCAACATGTATCCCTCAGCCAATATGACATCTTAGTTAAATCCTGTAACCCTTATAGGAAAGATACAAATCATTCTAGGGTTTCAGCAAGGTCATCAGCATCATCCCTGAATTAAAAGATTTATCAGCCATTCGTAGTGGCTTGACTGCACTGAGGCCTCAGAGCAGAGCAGTGGCTGTCAGAGTCACTCAGGACTACCTTTGAGCCGGTTCTTATAGACTCCTCCAGTACAGAGAGGAAGAGCTGAATTATTCAGCGTGTCTTTCAGTATTGATGAGCTACAGTCTATCTGTGAGCTCCTGTTTGATCTGTGTTTAATAACCTCCTACTCTCTTATCTCCCAGGCCCCATCCAGGCCAGACAAGCCTGCAAAGCAATCAATAACAGCAGTTTCACGCTAACGTCTACTGGGAAGGAAAGTGGAGTAAGGACCTCATCCAAGTTCAAACAAAACCTTTGGTGACTTATATTTAGTCGATGCTTAAGTTAAGAGAGTGGAGAAAAATCTTTCAATAAATGAGGTTTACACCTGGACTGAGAAACGCTGAAGCAGCAGTTTAAACTCTCTCTGACTCTCCACAGCTTTGTTTTGTATCTCTCTTACCATCCAGGTCGCTCTCGAAGGTCTCGCCTGTGAGCCACTCTGTGGCCGGGCCGCTTCCGTTCACCGTAGTGGCCGACACCCGGAATGAGTACTCAGTCCCTCTCTCCAAACCTACAGCAAGACACAGCCACATCAACAGATGGATAACTGCCGGTCATCTTTTCTCAGCTTTTCAGTATAGTCATTACTTGTTTATTAGTGATATATGTTTTATTTTTTATTTAACCTTTAATTTAACTTGGTAAGTTATTAAGAACATACTGTCACGGTTGTGCAAAAACCTTGTGTTTCCATTTATATAGTTTTTCATTTTTTGCATAATTTGAAAAGCCCACTTACCCTTTGCCTTGTGTTTAAATTGAAATGGTCCAAAATTACTTTGAAAAAATATCTTGTTACATTAACTTCCATTACAAGTTAGGAAATATTTGTAATTTTCTTATTTACGATGGCAGCCTGGAGAGCAGCAGAAGCTACTAAACACACACACATATATATATATATATATATACACACACACACACACACACAAACACAATATAATAGCATCTACTAGTATAAATCGCTGCCCCCATAATGATTCAACTCAATTATAATCCTCAAGTATTTTGCATCACAAGATCTCAAATTTAACCTTGATTTGATTAAATTACATACAGTGAATGCACAGATGTCACTGGAGAAATGTCACAGTGAAATATAGAAACTATAATTAATTCTAATTCTAATTTTTTTTTCATTTCATTTCATTTAATCACCGCCTTCAGATGCACTGATGTATTTTTACACCCCTATTACTCATCCACTAATTTATATCCAATCTTGTTTTCACACTCCAGTGCTGACTTTCTGCTGTGGCTCTCCATCTCTGAACTTACGGAATTCTTGGCATTCTCCTGCTCAACTCTTACGCTCATGAGATCACATGCTGAGAATAAATACCAAAACCTTAACAAGGCACCCATATCCTCACACTGCTCAAACCCCTCAAAACAGAAGAGGCCAGAGAAAAGATTTTGTTGACTGCTTCAACTTTTCTGTTTTCAGAACTTCTAACAAGTTTACAGGAAATAAAACTAAAATTAAAGTACATACATGCTTTTGATTCTGGCATGACAGGTATAATTTGTATTACTCACCATCAATAAGCTGAGAGAGTTGGGTGGTCATGATTTCAGCTGCTTCTCCTTTCCTTCCTCCCTTCCTGTAGCGAATCTTATAGCCTGTCAGCTCCCCGTTCTGAGTTCCCAGGGGAGGCGGCTGCCACCGGACCATAATGCTCTGGGGTTTAAAAACAAAAAAAGAACACAGCAGATAACAAAGCTGAATATACCACATCTTAAAAGAGTGAGATTCACTTCCTCACAGAGAAGGCCACCACCATTTTACCTGAATTAATACCAAGTCTTATCCAGTTCAGCTTAGCTCTCTAATGACGAGAGAATATTGTAGAAATTCAGATTTAAAATTGCTTAACAAGAGATATTCATTTTTCACTTAGGCAAACAATCTGATATTAAAAATACACTTGCCTTGAGGTTAAAATCTAAAAATGCCAATGGGAATTAACAAGGCAGTTAAGCTTAGTCCACAGGGTGTGAAGAAATGAGCCATCAGATCTTAATAAACAGCTTGACACAAATATTAATAGAACTTGGTACATTAGCAAGATGAGACATACACTACTAAAAGTCTGAGCTAATACATTCTCACTGTCAGACCAAAAGCTTGTACTGTATCTCTAAAACAATAACTCTACAGGAGAAGGAAACATTCTTAACTTTCAATGTAAATAATTATATTTATAGTGATTCTAAGCATATTGGTCCATTTATTAGGAAAACTGCACAAAATGTAAAGGGCAGCTGATATTTTCACATTATGTCAAAAAATGGAAACACACTGTGCTGCACATAGTACCACTTACCCTTGAGTTCTGGACTTCGAGAGACAGGTTCTGAGGTGCTGCACTTGGTACTGCACAAACAGGTAAAACAGTGAGAAACACTTTTACAGCAGTACATGAAAAACAGAATCTTGCTCATTATATGGCAGCTCATATCTGGGCTGAAATAACTAATTTATACACAGAGCTTTTTTCAAAGTACTTCATCTATGCTGGGAGTTTATTTTGGGATTCTGTTGCCTTTCTAAATAAAGCTTTGGGGATCATTATTCCCTGGTGAGACATTAGCAGGTACCCATACAAAAATATCACTACTCCTGAGTGAATGCACGTGAGAGAGAGTGAGCGAGAGCATGTTTGAGTGTGACTGTGCTTAGAAACAGCTCGTCATTTATAACGATTTTTGTCATTAAACTGTCTCTTTTGTTCTCACGTTTTTCCCTCTTTAAGAACTGCAGAACACCACCTGCCACACTTAGCTTGTTTTCCCTGAGGTCCTGTTGTGACAACCCCATCTTACCCTTCAGCCTGAGTAAAGTTGCTGAGCATTCAGTAAACAATATGCTGTATCTTCCAGTTTGTGCGCATAATGTGTGCTCACTTAACTGGGTTAATTAGATTAGCTTATGTAGTCTGCTACAGCAAACGGAAATGAGTGACAAGGTCTTGCCTGTGCAATACTGTAATATTTACTTTGATACTAAAATATTACAAGAATAGTAAATAACTGCATGCAAAGTACACAGAGATTATAGTGGCTTGAACAGTGTAACACAAAACCATATTACAGGGATGCGCACCATCAGAGAGAGTCTGAATGGTCAGGTCTTCAGTAGAGACTCCAGGGCCATGCTTGTTGTAAGCCACCACTCTGAAACTGTATTCTGTGAATTTCTTCAGCCCGGTCATTGTGTACGCCAAGCCTACAACATCCATGTCCTGAGAAAGAGAAACAGCACAAGAACAAATAAAGCCAAAGCCTTCAGAAAGTTTTGGAAGACACATTTTCAAAAATCCAGTAATGTACAGCCACCTTTCAGGATGGCCAGCTGGATCTTTTTTTGTTCATATTTTTGGGTCTTACCTGCTCTGAGTCTTGTCCCTTCTCACTGTAGTAGAGTTTGTAGGTCTGAATCTCCCCATTGCCAGTGACTGGTCTCTCCCAGGTCAGAGTGACTGATGTGGGTGTGACAGACACTGCCTGCAGGTTGGGGGCAGGTCCTGGTACCTGAACTGGAATGACCAGATGATGGAGCACACTTTTCAGAAGCTACTTAAACCCAGTAGCTTAAAACTGACAGCTAACACTGACAAAACTTGAAGTTTTGTCTCTGGCTGTAACAATTTTGAGTATACACCAATCACAGGTTCCAAAGCAGTTTTGACAAAGGACCTTCTCAATCATGATTATCTGGATGAGCGACAGCTGCTCACTTGCTCTGAGCATCCTCATGTCAGATGAGGCTAATTACAGGAGCCGAACCCAGCTTCTTCAAAGCACATGCATTCACCAAACTTCGACTTGTTACAGGTCTACTTTCTGCCTTACATCTCTTTTGTTCAGCTGCTTGTTTTGCTCAGTAGTGAAACTTTACAGTGCACTGAGACAAAGGATGACACATTTCCTCCCACCGCAGCAGGCTCCTTTGAATAATGACATCTCACACGGAACGTGGCGCAAAATCTGCAGCAACCAAGGCACAGCTAGCTTACAGAAGAGATTTCCACTCTTGATAACTATGGAAATGTGTTTTGTAGTTCACCGTTGGTATTCAAAAAGGTACATCTACGTTGGAGTGCTGACCTAGAATCAACAGCGTTGGCTGCTGCTGTTTTAAGTCAACAAATAAGCAAAACTAATCCATAGCCAGCAGCCCTGCACCTGGATACCTTCGCTTTTGTGTTTATTGTGTAGTGATTTAGGTTATTTGAAAAACAGAACAACCAGTGTGATTTAGCAGAACAGTGCCAGGTTCATCAATCTCTCAGGAATAGCCAGTGTTGCTGGACGTATCCAAGAGTGGCCTGCTATTACAGCAAACACTACAAGGACCCAGAATAAAGAGCAAGGCCCTCAAAGCAACTAAAGCTCAATACATGATAAATCACCCTTAATGCTGTTGAGTGACGCTTTAATACCAGATAGGTCGAGTGCCCAACTGTCTGAATATTCAACATTCACCCCACACACGTAGAGCAGACCTTGCCAAAAGGAGCATTGGAACAGAGCAGGCTTCAGTCTGAAGGTGCCTGCAAAGCCCCCGGGTTCGCTCAGCTCAGTTTTAGTATGCTGGTCAGCTTGGTTCGAATGAACAGGCAAGCAGACTCTGTCTCAGCACACAAACAGGTCCTGTTCGACTCCAGAGGGAAGGGCTATAGTGTCAGAAGGGAGACCACAGACTTGGCCTTGCTTCAGCAGTTTGTGGTAATATGTGTGAGGGCTACGGGCTGAATGTGTGTGTCTGTGTGTTTATCTCCTACCTTCAGGCTGGGTGGCCACTGTAAGGGGGGTTGAGCTTTCACCCAGGCCGTTTCTGTTGGACGCCACCACCCTGAAAGTGTACTTGGTATCAGGGATGAGGTTCTGGATGGTGACCTGCATCTCTCCCGGAGCCGAGGTGTTCTGAACACGCTCCCTGTGGAGTCGAGAAGAGGAACAGCATGTTTAGCTCAGCAATAAAAGCTTGAACTAAACCTGGGTAAAAAGTGTTAACTAGGGAGGCACAAATGAAAACAGGGAGATTGGGAGATCTCTGTTGCACTTTCATTAGGTAAATAATGTGAACCAGGTAAGTGCACTCAAGCTCTATTTGAATGCTGCTGCTACGCCTGTACCAAAATGTCATAGCACAATTTTGTATGACTCTTTGCATGACTTTGCATTTCCCATGCTAAATAGTGAGCTGCGCTTTATTTATTTGATGTCATTTATAAGTTTAGCCCATTAAAGAGCAAATTACATTGTTTATTTTGCAAGTTTGGTTGATAAAAAGTACCGGAAATGTGCTAACGTGTTTGTGTATTTACCCCACACTGTGTGATTTTCAGATAAAAGGTTAATAAAAATCAGCCTTTGGCTAATTTGGCTTACAAAAAAATCAGAATCTGACATCAAAATTAATGATTTATCCCTAATGATAATAATTATCAAAATCAGACATTTGTCTGATACTGATGATGCATATTTGAGGTGCTTGATCATGATCACTATGCCAGTCTGATTCTCAACCTGGCATTACAGCAATGTCTATTTCAGTACACTAGCTGGGGCTTTACTCACCTAGCTGTTCATGCACGACAGCAAAAACAAGTAGGAAAGTTAGCTAGTCATTTACAGTGTTGGAAATATGAAGACCGAAAATGATGCATGTTGAATGTAAAGGCCCAGCAAAAGTAGGTTTTTATTTCTATTTTTTATTTATACTCATTTATGTTCTATGCTGGTAAAAAATCATTTTATATAAATAAAAAACAAAACAACCATCTATGTTCAAAACACTAAAAATGATGTAATGCATCTAACACTGAGTGATAATTATAATATAAACTAATATGGAAAAATACATCTGACATCAAGACTTGGGCCACATCGCCCACCCTTCATTAATCTGTGTTGTCTAAGCCTTTTATCACATGGTTATGGGTTTATCACACTAATGATTCTTCATCATTTTCAAGGTTTCTACCTGCTGGAGCCATCGAGGCTGTAGAAGACAGAGTAGCTGATGTTTTCTCCATGTGGCTCGGCCGGCAGCCGCCAGGTCAGCTTGATGAAGCGGGTGGAGACCAGCGAAGCCACGACGTCCCGTGGGGGCGAGGGGGTAGGGCCCAAGCGCTCCCCCAAACCGGAGGCTACATGGTCAGTAGTGGCACTGGTCAGTGAGGGGACAGTGGAAGTGGGGAGGGCAATGTCTTGGGTACATGAAGGGAGGGGAGGAGGGTCAACATGACAGGAGGGTTGGAGGGGAAACAGGGAGGGTAAATTATAGATACAGAGGCAGGGGAGGAAAGGAGGGTGAGAAAAATAGAAAAAAAGAAAAGAACATAATAAAATTGACGCAAAAAAACAAAAACACCAACATTCCACCACAAAAGACATAAAAGAAAAACACCAAATTTACAATGGAGCAAGAGCGCAGGAGATGGAGCTAATATACAGTGGGCTGGCATGCAGAACACCCACAATAAGCAAGCAAAAACACAACTACAGCACTGATGAGAGGGAACGTCTTTAACAAACTCTCATATCAGTCAGCACAATACTAATTATGTGGTCACATCTGACGCTGACATTACATTTAAAGGCAACAGAAACCATTTATTTTCTTTTCCACTGATAACAACACAGCTGAAAGCATTTGGTGCAACTAAAAATGAATTTTAATAGTGAAGATTTGCTGAAGCTATCACAAAAAGCCTAAGAGCAAGTTTTATTTTCTCAGGCCTGAAAATTTGAGATGAACTGTGCTGTCTGCTCTGCACAGAGAAAACACAGGCTGCCCTTTTACTCCTTTGTTCTTTTGGCCTTACTTCATATGTCTGAGTGCATTACTTGAATCAGCGGAGCTAAAGCTCTCTATATCATTCCTAATAGGAGCAGTCAGATCCAGCCAGTCTGTGAACACTCGGATAGAGATGTGCACTCTTGCTTGTAACACACTGAATACTGACTAGCCCATTTTCTGTCTTGGAGGCGCGGCAGACTGGAAAACGACGCATGGTGAATACTCGAGGCAATTCATTATGTTCATTTGCAGAAGGATGGGCCAGGATGCAGGCAGTCAGGCAGATAAGAGCAGGGCTCACAGCACAGCTCAAAGCAGCAACCAGCATCAGGGGTAAAGCACAGTGTGGGGGGCACAATGCGTGTGAATGGAGTAAAGCTGGGAGATGCATTGTGATTTCGTCAGCATCACAATACTGAATTGCCATTGCAACAAATGTATGAAGGTTCGCATAAGATGATACAAGCAGTCTCTCCTAGTTTGCGATACTGAATCAGAATAAAAGAAATACAGTACAATAGGATTAGGGCCGTCACGATTACATGGTTAAATCTGATTGAAACTTGGTTAAAATAAATCAAAAGCTGCCTTGATGAATCAGCAACAATCATTTGCAAGATGATAATGCACAATGCAAATCTCTCTTGTAGTAAGAAACAGAGCCTGTTGGACACACCCATTTATAAGCATTTTTAGAGACATAATGTAACATAAGAAAACATAAGTAAAATTCTTAAAGCCTTCCTTTTTGTCTTTTTCCAATAAATTATTATGGAATCGTTCTTCTATTGATGGGTTGAAGATTAATAATGCAAAACTATGAAAACTATAAGTCTTCTTTGGGAACTATCTGCCTCTCCGCCATGAACGGAATACACCGTAGGTCAACAATTTATCGCAAAATTATCATACAACAATGTCTCAGGCATCAGGCGGCATATTTGTGACCATTTCAAGAAATACCTTTCTGTAAGGGAGACTTTAGAGCCATTAAATTCTTTAGACGTCTGGTTTCCATCACCACCACTGTAAACAATTCTGACTCAGTAGAATTCTCTACAAAGGAGAATTTCATATCAAACCACTCTGAATGAATATGTTTACATCTTGATGATTTATTTATGCAGAAGAGTTGAAAAAGTGGTGGCGCTCCCCTTTATGCCAGTTTTTATTGTTTGGCCTTTATTTTTACAACTCTGACCACTCTTCAATCCTCAAAATAGAAGATGATGGATGCTCATACAGATTACCCAATTAGTACTACAATTGATAATGACAACTCTAGACCTTTCAAACTCAGGCGATCCTGAGGCTGTGATGCTAAAATGCAGCTCTAGAAACATTTCCCCCAGGAGCCTCAGAGTGACTCAGAGAGTGTGTTAAGGGATTGCCCTTCGTGTAGGCTACATCTCACTGCATGAATGAATGTGTGTGCCAAAGGGACAGCACGGCAGCTCTGTGACAGGGAGAGCGATAGCTAGGCGAGGTGGCTGCCAGCCTGAAGCGCTTGGCAGTGAAATGCCCATCTGATGCCAGCTGGAGCCTGTCACACGCAAGGCTGGGCACTACAGCTCACAGAGTGGAGCTCCTCTCCTCTCACTGAGTGGGACAGAGCCACACTGGAAACAGCAAGAAGCAGGGCAGGCCAGCCTTAACAGCACAGTCCAGTCTTCATTTCAGCCACACTGACATCTTGATATCAGACACAGAGAGCTGGCTATAGTGAATAAGACAGGAGTAGCTATGGGTGGGTTGGTCTCTAGGTTCTAGATAAACCCACAAAGTGCTCTATGAGGTCTGTATAAGAAGCACTGCACTTTCGTCAAAAACTGTTCAGGTTTAAGATCCACTCGTGGGCAACAATTTACATTCTCTTTCAAACGGGCACAATTACGTTGTAATGGCATGGTATGTCTGGTATGTCAGGGTCAGCAACTCACTTAGTGCCCGCTCACATTTGTTTGTGGCCACTAAGCTTGTGGGTTTAGACAAACCGAATTCCACAATGAAAACTCTTCAGTTTGACTAAACAGTGAATGCATTTGCTTGCACTCAATAATCCAATCATAATCAAATTTCTGCAGTTATCTGATTATTCAAATGGTCATGTAAACAGCATACTCCGATTTCTTGGATGGAGTAAGGTCTAGAAATCCGATTGAGAAATCCGATAAAGAGAGCTGGGTTTTAGCTCAGTAATCAGATTTCTCGGCGCATGTAAACTCTTACTCGGATTTGTTTCGGATTTCTGCACATGCGCAAAAACAGACAGCGGTACCGGAAATAAGCAAGCAGCGTTGCCACGAAATGGCTGCAAAACTCTTTGGAGTGACGCTGAAACCAACTACATGCTTGACGAAATTAAACATTTAAATATTCTTCATCTTCTAGATGATGTATGTTCATATTTTTAGGTGAAGTGGCGCGTTATTTTAAAAAAAAAGCCGCAGCATGAACTTTGAGTTTTACATTATGTTTACGTCACATCTTCTTCTGTGAGTTTACTGGGTTGCAAAGCAGAAATCCGATTATTGTCTGACTCATGTAAACCCGGAGTTTCCCCATTATCTGATTATTCAAGCGCATGTAAACGTGTTGATCAGGTTACTGACAAAATCTGATTTTCTGCAGCTATCGGATTATTGAGAGCATGTAAATGCAGTTAATGACATTCAGTCTTAAACCACATAAGATTATACGGTACATTAAAACAGTCTATGACCAGAGCTTAAAAATAAATAAATAAATAAATAAATCACTCCAGTGAAAGTCCTCTATTCTTCTTTATTTCTATTTGAAATAAAGGACCTGCTTTTAATTGTACTTATGTATTATAAACACAAAAGTACTGCAAAATCGAGGCTGTAGACACGCAAAACATAACAGGCTAACTTTGCAGGCTGATAAAAAAAATGAATTTTACTTTAAATAATCAGAAAGTTTATTTTTAATATTTCAGAACTGCTTTTGTTACTCACACATACTGATTATGATCAATGGTCCAGGTACTTACACAGCTCAGTGGAGGAGTAAAAGAGAAGGTTTTTTTACTGTAAAATATAGTAGAGTGAAAGTCTCTGAAGTCTTAAAAAATACCTTAATAAAGTACAGCTATTTGAAAAAATACTCAGTACTTCATGACTAACCCCACACTGAAACGGTCATAATCAAAGCAGTATTCTTCTCGTCCCACTAGGCCATGAACCAGGTTATGAAAAAATCCAAACCCAGTCTGGGCTGGTTAAATCCACTACATCCTCAGGAAAGCCGCAAAAGAGTGAGAGACGCCTACGTCAAACACCTGGTGAGGACGTACCCACAAGGTCACTCTTTCCCGGCACACATCTCTCATAAACCACGTCACAGAACAGCGGGGGGAAGACACTAGGCCACAGAGGACAAAGACAAGCCCCAAAGATAACCATACCACAGTGGGGCTCGCCACATCAATGCATTCCACAGAACTGTATCAACACTGCCTACGCTTCACTACACCCCCTTTAATATCAGTACCTCTATTTGTTAATGGCCCTATAATGCAAGGTAATGGGTGGGTGTGTGGGGTGGAGGGGGATACACACCCTAATGACAATGCTTCTGGGGCTATATATACACTGTTTCCCCCACAGGGCCGCCACTGCAGGGGGGCATTAACTCTGCTCTTCAAAGGGAATATCAACATTCAGGAAATGAGTAAGTACAGGGGAGGGATGCTGGGATATCATTCCTAGATATTATTAGATACGTACTAAAATAATAATGGAAAAAAATTATTATGTACAATACAACTGTAATGCATAGTGAGAGAGTGGCAGGTTTAGTGAGGGCTTGGTTTAATAGGTTTAATCAGAGAGAGAGAGAGAGAGAGAGAGAGAGAGAGAGAGAGAGAGAGAGAGAGAGAGAATGTTTGAAGATGGCATACTTTATCATGATAGGGAAACCACATTAAAGATTAGATGAGACAGAACTCAAATAGAATAAGCTCCCCCTCTATAAAGCAGGAGAGCTTCAGATGTTCATACGCACTTGTGATACCTAAAGGAGAGGTCTTAGACCTTGATGTTGAACAATGAAATATAAACACATCTCAGAGTGGCAGATGCTCCTGGGGACTAAATGTCAGCACCATGTCTCTTTAACACCCATCAAACGTCTGTCTAACAGTTGTCACCCTCCACATGACCTCATGCAAGAGCAAGAGTAACTCTTTCATTTCAGTGCAATACAGTACAAAGTGCAATAACAACGTTGATTAAACATTATTTAATACACTGCCCTTCAAAAGTAAATCACTGGGAATCACTGTTATTAATAAAATCTAATCAATTCTGTTGCAGGAAATGTTGAAAAACATTCAAATATGTTGTCAGGATGTGTCTAGATTAACTAACAGAGATGTGTCCCTAA